AACCATCAGGGTCAGTAATACATTTTTTAACAAGATTAAAGCGGCTTCTGGCGATAGAGTAATTAGAGAAGAGATTTCAATTTGCGTTCTCAGCTCACGAGTTATCCAGAATAATCGCGCATAGCCTACGACTCAAGCGTTGTCTTTCTGGTATTTGCCAGTATTAAAATGTAGCGTAGTTCCATATTATATTGAATGTATTGAAGGTCGCAGAATTTAAATAGAATCGGACGAATGTTGCTAGATAAAAGCTTTGGTTCAAAATCAGTGTTGATTATGTATAACCCGCAGTCCGTGGACACACGGCATACTACTCATCGTAAAGGAAAGATAGATGTCAAAGCAAATTGTAATCATTGATCTCCGAGGCTTTGTGTGTGCACGTGCAGATTCAACCAACTTTTTGGCCTGAGCTTGCTAAACTGCAGTTTCCGCAGTGAATCGCTTCACGCACGCGCTGGTGCGTTGTACTCGTACTTTTATGGCCTCTCTCTGAGAGAATCTTGTACATTCAGCGCCCTATAGTTAAAAATTTAACCAAAACAATGGAAATAATAATTGACTTTTTCTTTATTTGGAAGAAGTGTGACATTATTATTTGAACTCTGATCGAATAAAGCCAGCATTGCATTCTTGAGATGATCGTAAAGGACGGTGTGTGCGTCTGCGTAGGTTTGGGTGACATTAGGAGAAGAAGATGGTCTTCCTATGCCTTGAAAATGTTTCTGAACCTAACGATATTATGATAAACGTGTAAGTGGTAATATTCATCGGCAGTCTGGTAGGCATTTTGATGTAGAAAATCTTAGATATTCTAATCCGACTGCATTTGTTTGGTGACTATTATGCATGATCTGCTGTCAATGATGTAAAGCGTGTGCAAACGGGCTACATAAAAAAAAATTCCGTTATTTAATGACGGATTTGCGGAAATACTATTGTTAGCAGTAACTCGGCCTAAATTCCTACAGATGTCATAGTAGAGGCAGAAAACACAAAGACCAAGAGATCAAATGGATTCGGTCGAATAGTGAAATCGTCATCCCGCGAAAACGTGCCCAAGCCCGCCAGAAATTACCAATGAAGGAAAATGAAATCACTTGCGCACAGAAGAAAATTAATGGTTAATATGTCTGATATGTTTTAGCTCGAGTAAGCGAGTGTTATTGTAATGCCATGGTGATCTAAACTCCTAAGAGCAATTTTTAAAGCAACAGAAACACTAGGTGGCGCGCCCGTGATTCTGTGAGTTAGACACCACCGTATTATCAAATCACTTACGCACAGAAGAAAATTAATGGTTAATATGTCTGATATGTTTTAGCTCGAGTGAGCGAGTGTTATTGTAATGCCATGGTGATCTAAACTCCTAAGTGCAATTTTTAAAGCAACAGAAACACTAGGTGACACGCCCGTGATTCTGTGAATCAGACACCACGGCATTATGAAATCACTTGCGCACCAAGTGGAAATTTAAAGGTTAATATGATTTAGCTTGAGTAAGCGAGTGTTATTGTAATGTTATTGTCAGGGGCACCCAACGGCAATTTTCGGGAAAATATCTGTTCGGAAGACGATCTGAGAACTAGAATTTTCGGAACATTTGTTGTAAAATTTCTTGCTTGCCTGCCTCTGCTAGGATCTTCGAACATCTACAAAATGGTATAATTACCCATTTTAATCGGATATTTACCCTGAAAAAGGCCACCCAGAATTTTCGGGAGCCTTTTCCTGACTGAAATTTTGGAAAAGGTAAGTTTTGATCCCTATAATTTTCGGATCACTAGACTTTCAGCTAGGAAATCCGAACAGATGAAAAGTTTTTAGGGGATAAAAATATGCCTATATCTACCGTTTAAATACTAAAATACGTTCAACAATGCTATGTTAAGTGGTTTTGAACTATATCCTCGTTGGGTTCCCCTGTATTGTGTTCTAAACTCCTAAGTGCGAGTTTTATCATGCAACAGAAACAGTTAGACACCAAGATGTTATGAAATCACTTGCTCAATAACTGGAAAACCAAGGGGTATACAAGCTACGAAAGCTATATGTCTGTCTTAGAGTGTTTTGTAATAGGTGATTCTCTTGTAGGAGACCCTCGGCTCCGCCAGTTATATTTTTCGGCATTTATTAGTAAAAGATTTGTTTTTTCGTTACAAATAAAACACGCGTAGCAAAATTCCCATTTCCGGCACTTTTAGTACGTCCTGGAAACTGGAAAGCACAGTATACGTAACCGGTTATTCGGAAAAAGGCTTTTCTTTTTCTTTTTCATTTTTATTTTGAAAAAAACTGTTGCGATCCGTTCACTGAGAATCTCTGCTAATGCGGTTACATTTCGAAAACAATATTTTTGTGGTATCGCGTTCTCCTCGCGGGCGGCCTTTTGCTTTTAATCACCTGGAGAGACTTGGTAGTCTAGGTTTAGTTTTAGTTCGATTATTTCACGTCGTAGTTACAAAGAAACGTTTCGGCGTGGCCCACCCAATGTAAATACATTTGAGTAAAGTGGCCGAGTGTTCTGAAGTTGCTCTGTTTGAAAAGACATTTGTGATTTTTACAATAAAATCGATGATGTATTTACGGAGGTTTCGGTTATCGTTAGAGGAGACAAAAGCATATTTTGATTGTTTTTATTGCTCCTGTCGGAATAAAATTTCATATAAGTTAGCGAGATGAACACACGATGACGTGCGAGTAATAAGTTCCAGGGATTTCTTATAGTTCCCGATCTTCGGTCCTGAACTATCTTGTCAACACTTCCTTTGTTTTATATTGCGCAATCGGTCAATTCAGATGACCGTCGTGCACGTTTCCAAGGCTTGCAGGTCATCATGAAACAAGATACTTCGGCGCAGACCCACCATAAAAATTAGGCTTAAAGAATTATCTCTTTATGTAACTGAAATAATCAGTAAAACATAACTTTTCAAATAAATTCAGTAGCTGCGAATCAAAAAGTGCCCAAAAATTCACCGAAATTTCACGCAGAAGTGATGTCAGATGTGTTTGTATAGGTAATAGAATGATTTGTAGTGATATTTGGCATAAATACCACGAGTAATATTTCAAAATTGTCATACGTAATTTCACGAGCCGTTAGGCGAGTGAAATTTGAAACAATTTTGAAATATCACGAGTGGTATTTGTGCCAAATATCACGTACAAATGATGCTATTATTTGTTTATACTACTACCAACAAAAGGTTTGTAATTTTCACATGTAGGTATTTCAAATTAAGCTGAAATACCACTGCTCTAAGCCAATCAAATTGCAGAAATTTATCATGTAGTAGTATAAAATGTGATAAAAGCCAACTTGGATGCTATAGTCTCACGATCGCGTTTTGAGCCAATTTTATGAATGACAAAAGTAAATCGATTTTAGTTATTGAGATTCAGGATACACTTTGGAGAAAATAAAACAAACTGAAAGTTTACTTACCCGCAAGGAAGAAGTTTACGTTTTAAAAGAGGACAAAGAAAATTAAATGTTCTCGACTGGCGTCAGAGGACGAATCATGCCGACCAGAAATAAACCGCAGACAATCAATGCGTGTCACGGGTTGTAGCGAAAACGAAGACCCCCCCCACCTCCCCCCCACTTTTTTGATTTTATTCGGACGCGAATTCGCCTGCTACATTTTTTTAAATTATTGCTATTTTTATTTTCTTCATTAATTTTCTTAACCCTTTAAAGTTTATTGATCGTTTATGGGTGGAAGGTGTTGACAGGCCAAACACGATTCACGCGTTAAGGGCGGGGGGAGGGTAAGAAAGAGAAGGAGCCGTTCCCTTCCTTCTCTCCCCAATCCCCTCTCCTTTTTTCGTCCCTCCTTCTTTTCTTTCTTACCCTCCCCCTTAAACCTTCCCCCCGCCCCTTTAACGCCTGGTGTGTGAGAGAAAGTTTGAGAGTACCTTTCCCTGTAGATGAAAAACGAAAAATGGGTGTCTTCGTTTTCAGGTCTTCATTTTCGGGTGTTTACTTGCAATTTTCGGGGGTCTTCGTTTTACATACAAACGCGTGTCCCGACCTCTCGGTATAAACAAACGGCAAAAAAAAATGCACATTTGCTCAATCATAATCTACCCGCTGGAGAACAGATTCATTCGAACACATTTTGGCACGAGGTAAATGTCGTGTGTCGCCTACCAACCCCATATGCCAGGAAGTAACTGGAACAGCAGTGATTTTCCGCCCTAGCCGGTCGGCAAGACCGCCACTATGTCTCTCCTTTGAATATAACTTACAATGCCCTCTGTTGGTTCCACACATATTTCCTCCACACCATCGAATGTTCCAGTGACTTCGACTATTGCCTTATCTAAATCTTCCGTACATACAGGCATCTTGGATTGTTTGAATTTGATCTTTGTCACCTTCAAACCCCCCGCCTCTCGATCATGCGCCTATTGTGATTGTAATCCAATCAAAGCATTTGAAACATTCGATATCTCCAAGGAACCAATCACAAGCGGGGTTGTAATTGGCTAGGCGCTATCAAAGGGATGGCGCTCTGGTCCAGAGGCTCTTTACGACTTGACCGAAACCGGAAACCGCGCCTGAAAAGCTTCTGGCACCTCGGGTAAAGTAGACTGCAGAACTGTCCTTTTTTCTCAAAATCAGTAAAGCAATCGGTAAAGCGTGGCGTAACAGTCTTAGGCGCGCCAAGCGCGCGAGCCTCACACGCCCGTAGGGCATCTCTCCCTAGTCTCGCTCTCTGTTTTCAGTCTCGTAACGTTTTGTTTGATTGCTCGTGCGTACTTGAATACGCAAAAATACGGACTGCGACACAACCCCTTAAAGTTTCGTTCCCCGTTTGTTTGTTTGTTTGTTTGGGTCGTCTGCAGCCACAAACATTAATTTAAAATCCTGATTATATTATTATAGCCTCTACAAAACAGCACAGAATACCTCACCTTAGTCAAGAACATTTTATCAGCGCCTGGTACATTTGGTGGTGACGATTTTCAAGGGCAACTTCTACAGCTGTAAAATGGGGATCCCCCAACTCCTAAAATACGTTAATTCGAAATCACATCTTTGGGAAGAGGTCATTCTTCAAGATACCAAACTGGTCATAGATGGGTTAGGTTTGTGCTACTATCTTTATAAACATGAGTTTAAATTTGACTTCCGGTGCGGTGGGCAATACGGCGAGTTTTATCACGCGGTTGATTCGTTTTTTACTGCTTTGAGCTCTAAACGAGTCGAGTGCTTTGTGATCTTCGATGGCGCGGACGATCCAAGCGACAAAAAGTTGGAAACACTCCAGGAGCGAGCAATCCAGAATATTCAAACGGCGGATGCTTTGGCAAAATCAGCTGCTAACCCCAAGTTCTTACTTCCGCTTTTGACCAAAGATGTTTGCCTACAGGCGCTAAGGGATCTTGGCATTCAATTTGCAGTTTGCGACAGGTAAATAATATTAAGCTTTGATAAAACGCACTGTTTCGAAGACTTTAAAAGCGGGAATTCCCCCATGGAGGTTGGCAGTCGTCTTACGGGCAATGGTAAAAAGTGAGTACCCGATTCGACAAAGTTGTTCACAGCCCTCAATTTTTTTCTGTATTTACATTCGATAACCATACAAACTGGGCCTAATCACAATCCAAAACTGAGTTTTAGCTTCAGGCGAAACTGCCTATCTCAGTAATTTATCAATAGAGCCCTGACCTGCACTTGTGACCTGTGATCTGTAACCTGTTTTTTGTACCTGCCACTGCGGGCAGGCTCCCAGGGAAACGTTGTTTAAAGAGAAGGGGAGAGATTTTATCTCCTCGCACGGTAACCGGTTATTTTTCCCCAAGTCATTTCGCCCCAGTTTCTTAAACCCCTTTTTTGAGTCATTCAGCGCGCTTTAAATGTCATATTCCCCGATCTATAAGCCATAAAGAAAAACAAGTGCACTTCAAACGTAACATTCCTCGTTTTAAAAAAGGGGGCTAAGTAACCGGGGAGAAATGACCGTAAAGCCCTCGCTCGAACCTCCACTAAAGAGCCTTTTCATAGGCTAGCACGACCAAACACTACCCTGCAATATGAAGCTATGAAATTGTTTGTTAAGCCAGTGTATTTTCTTTTGCGGCAAGCAGTGTAGTTTTTGATGTTGTATTTGACCTAAGATATAATCCTCTCGCTTTTCCTCAACAGTGAAGCTGATGCAGAAATTGCTTCCTTGGCTCAATCATTGAACTGCCCAGTTCTAGGCGATGATACTGACTTCTTCATATTTGATGTAAAAGCAGGCTACATACCACTGTCTTTTTTCGACTGGAAAGGAGGTCAATTAACAGCCAGTATTTTCTACCGTAGTAAACTGGCATCACACTTTGGAATTCGCGCAGAACTGATTCCTTTGTTAGCTTCTTTGGCGGGCAATGATTACGTGAAAACGCACGCACTGGAGGCTTTTTACCGTGCATTGACTGGCAGTCCGGGCACGCAGCATTTTAGCAGAAGTGAAGAAAGGTTTAGAAAAATTGCTAACAAGCTGTCCGAGCCACCTGACTCGTGTAACCAACAGGAAGCACTGGAGTCCGTCCTTCAAATGATATCATCGGAAGACAGATGTAAACTGAAACAAGCTGTACAACTTTCCCTTCAGGAATATAACATTAAGGAATCGAATTTATTTGATTATTTCACAACTGGTGCGGTGTGCAGCTCTCTTAGGACACGCAATGGCCACGAAATTAAGCAGTGGGTTTTGGAACGGTTTCGTTCTGGGCTGTTTTCAACCAAATTTATGAATAGTTTAACCTCTGGTAAATGCTTGCTTCGAGTGCAGGTTGAAAACTGTGACGAAATTTCCGCAAACCGCTCTTCTTTGCGGCTTAGACAGTTTGTTTACGGTATTCTAAACGATGTAGAAGAAGGCACAAACGAACCGGGAAATTTACCATCTGTCCAAGAATGGGATAGAGCAGGCACTGAGCTGGAACAGTTCAATGTTGCACCCTATGAAGAGGGTGTGGTACCAGGTATAAGTCTCATGCCATATCTCGAGACCACAGAGACGCTAAACGTTTTGTTATTTGCGCTTGATAGTGCAGACACACCCGAAATCGAGGCTTTACCGCAGGATATGAAGATATTTGCTGCATCACTTCGTTATCTTCTCAACCATGCGCAGCCAGAGCTGAAGATGAATCATCTCTTGGCTTTATTGTGCTGTTGTGTTAAGTTACAAGACAATTTGGCGGAAGAGAACGTGAAAACTCAATCAACTGATCTGCGAGCAGCGCACAGTTTTTGTCAGTGGCAGTCTGTTTTGATAGACGCTATCAACCTTAACCGCATTTTACTAGAGCCTGTACTTACACCGTACATTCATAAGATATACAATGGACAAACGGCGCACAGTCTGGCGGAGAAACTAAATCAACGTAAGTTATTTATCGACAAAACACTGAGTAAACCATGCCAGCACTTCCCCGTGCACAAGCAATACTCAAAACTATGAAAATTAAACAAAAAATTGAAAGACTTAAAAAAGACTTTAACAACAGATTGACAATTGGATGCATGGTTTGCATTTGACACTAACTGATTATTGTGGTCGAATCTTTCAGTTTCTATCGAACTCAGCTACTTGCTTGGATTGTGAGACAAAGTCACTTTTCATGCCTTTTAGCGAAGCACTTTTTGCAGGCAAACATTCCCATCTCAAGTTGACATTTCTTTACATGTTGAATTCCTTTCACGTTAGCTTGAGCTACTTTAATAACCTACGCGAAAAGTCGAGTCACCGCAGAATACTAGTTGACACGACGCGGTTTGCAAATAATATAAGGTTATAAATACTCTCTTTTGTTACAGTTGCAAGCTAACCATTGCCTTTTCAGTTTAATTTTTCAATGACAGCCGATAGTCCAACACTTCTACACTACAATGAGAACCTTGTTACACCTTGTTACAATCAGGAAAGAACGTACGAATTTAGTAGTAATTTGTTATGTACTTTCTTTTTCAAGGATGTGCCCCAGAGGAACTAATTCCGTCTTCAAAACAACAGTTGTTCAACCAACTTAAAACTGCGGTAACAAAGAATCTGCTACACAAAATCGCCCCAGAAGAAAGACCACGTGAAAGGAACAGTGGAAGGAAGGCCAAAGATTCTCATGTCAAGACTGCATCGAAAAAATCTGATGACGGCAAAAGGTGGGAAAATCGATTTGCATTTTTGCGTGACTTGGAAGAACAAGATAGTCAGGATGACGACAAGTGAATTTCTAAAATAATGTCTATTTGTTTCACAACACTTTTGACAATGAAAACTGGGATGATCTTAATTGCGTTTGAAAAGCAAGATACGCTGAATTAACTTGTACAATGTAGCAAACTAACTTAATAGTGTGGCGAAATGACTTTATATCGAAAATAATGGTGACACATAAACCGTTGAAATGCGACGCACTGGCAGGAACAGATATCCTATCTGTCCTATGCCGGCTTAATAACTGGGACCCGAAATTTCAATTTCTTTTGCTGACAAGGACGTAAAACCCTTTGTTTCTGGTGTCGTGTGGTCTTTATAATGAAGCAGTATTGAGTCGTGCACTCTACTAAAAGCTCACTTGCGAATGTGCGCTTAATTTATGAAGTGAAAAAGGGCGAGAACGTCACTTGTCCTACAATTGGGAAAAAAACTAAGCCAAGGTTTATCCTTTTCCATGCTCCAAGATAGTTGGGAACGTGGATCGAGGAAAGAAAAGTTGCGTGAAAACCGCGTGGAAACTGGGGAGAGACGGGTTTTTTCGCTCGCTCGCTTTTTCCTGGCTCGCCCACTTTTTCGCTCGTCTTAATGCACAGACCGAGAGCCTGGTAAAGGCTAGCCAAGGTTAAGAAGACTATAGCTGTAATGTACTGTCCCAGTGGTTCGCTACTGGTATATTATACGTTTTTGTGTTTAGTATAACTGCTGTAAGGAGAGATTTTCCATGAATTCTTTATTTGCCTCGAATATATCACATATCGCTTTCAAATATTCGCTTTGTCGTTGTTCTTAGTAATTCATACTGAATTCGCATAAAGAAGTTTTAGCTCCGCAAAAAGGCTCGTGCCATTTTTATTATCCTTGTTTCATTTGCTTTGTGTTCGCTAGCTAATAAAATCACAAAAAATAGCCAACAGTGTTCCTTAACAAACAAAACTAATTGCTCGTTCTCTTTTTAATTATATACATTTTACGTCAATGTTGACTCTTGAAAGAATACTTAATTTCTTAATAATGGCTTATTTGACTTCAGCTTTGAAAAAAAAAAAAAAAAAAAAAACAGTAGTTTCTCTAGCAACCTTTGTGGTATTACAGGTGTGGTATGGAATCCCTAATGAAAGGGTTCCCAAGTCTCCACTAAATAGTGGGTAAGGTAGGGAGGGAGGGTGTGTGTAAATGAGAGTGTTGTAGGCATAAAAACAAATAAAATAGGTTAACAGTTAAATAGTTAGAAAAAGCACTAATATTGAGCGACCAACAACTGCAATGCAGCCACGTCCAACACAAATATACAGTGCAAAGTAAAATGTTAAAAGTTAAAAACACTGATATTGAGCGACCAACAAACTGCAATGCAGCTACGTCCAACACAATACATAGTGCAAAATAAAACAAAAGGAACTGAAGGGTTAATATATAATATAATATAAAGTTAAGCACCTTGAAACGAGGGAAACAGGTTTCTAGGGCAAATAGATCCATTAGCTATAACCGTAGCGAGCGCGCGTGAAAAGATGTTGACGTAAAATAGCCAACAGTGTTCCTTAACAAACAAAACTAATTGCTCGTTCTCTTTTTAATTATATTACATTTTTCGCTCTCTCTACTATCCCTGAGGAAAAATGGGGGACTACTCGTAGTCTACGCCTTTGATACAGGTGTACCTCGTTCTAATTGCAACTTAGTTATATTTATTTGCAAAAGTATATTTCATTAAGTTGTTAGTTAAAGAGAGGTGATAACCGAATTTTGAATATGAAAGCTTTTGCTGCCCTGTAACTTTAAAAATAGATCGGTTTTGTTTAAGGTGAAAACTTCCAATTAGTCTGCGCTTTTCCTGTTTCAACAGCCGATAGCTGAACTTGCAATTTAATTCATATTGGAACACTTTGTACATAAACGCTGTTTTGCTGACCTGGCTAGGCCTTTGTCTCAGTACTTTTACTTTCTAAAATAGCAACAGTAACAAAAGCTTTCAGGTTAAAAATAGAATTTGTATTTAGTTTTCATTTAACTCTAAGTGATTTCTGTTTATATTTCTATTGTATTCTTTTGTCTTCAGTGGTTGTAAAAATCATATCTAAGTAAGTTGCTTTGAACTGATTTTTCGATTACATCGTCGATTACATCGCCGATTACATTGTCGATTATTTCGCCGTGTCCTAGCCGAGTTATTGCTGTTTGATCCGCTGAAGAATAAACGCTGTTGGAACCAAGTTTAGTCTGTTTTATCTCCTGCTGTACCAGTTAGTGGTCTGATCCCGGACCTCGAGAGAAGTGACGACTCTTCCCCGCAAGCGAGTTGCCATTTGAGTCTAGTTTTCCCCAGTTTTATCGTGAGTCAAGCACCGAGTTCCCGTTGAGCCTTAAATTCGTTTCAGAGTGGAAAAATCTTCCGACACACTGCGAATTACAACTTCCCTTAAGACTAATGTATTTGATATAAACTCAGGACATGCACCCTGAATCTTCCCTTGATCCTTTAAACCCCAATATCCCCATTCAAATTCTCCAGACGAATTTCCACACATTTCCTTAAAGAATAAGTTGTAGAGAGAATTTGATAAAGGATCGATGCATTTACTAATTGATTTTCGTAACCTTTTCTCTTGATTATTGCCCCCGCAGGGATTTCGCCCAGAAGGCGAAATCCCGAGGAGGCACTCTAGTAACTCGCGCGTATATTAAGGAAAGTACTTACAGTTGGAATATACAATCATACAGTCAATATAGAAAAAATCTCGATTTGCTTGAACAGGGACCGCGAGGAATCGGTAGGTAATGATGACGTTTCTATTGTTTGCGCCCGCAAGTACGAAATGGTTAGGATGACGTAAAACAAAAAATCCCGAAGGAACAGCTTACAATAGGTAGACTTTGTGACATTAATTGTGCAGTCATACTTCGATACTCTTTTGCGTTACGTGTCACCAGTGGCATTCTGTGGAGCATGCAGTTGTTATGAAAGTTGTGGACCAAAAGACACTCGTTAGCGCAGATGAAGTTATAAGGTGCGTAGAACAGTGACGGTATATTTTAACACTAAGTGAGTTTGTCAGACACGAGTTCACAAATCTTTGATTGGAAACCTTTAGCTGAGCCTTGCAAGACACTTTTTCTCTCTTTGACCGGAATAAAACTCGGCCCAAAACAAGCAAGACGAGTGAATGATTCAACGGCTAACTTATCACTAGCAGAACGATGAACGATTACACAAATTCGTCGACCATCAAATTCTGTGCTGACTCATTCCCTGCTCACAGGTCCTTCCGCTATAAAGTTTAAAATAAGACTAGAATGCGCGAGCGAGAATTGATCAAACGTCCTTTTAATTTCTAAGGCTTCCTTTCCGCCAAATAAAATGAACTGAATGTAAAAAGTGAAAGAGAAATAGCGAAAAATTCAACTTCTATTTAAATCTTTTCTTATGGTTTAGAATAAACTATTCTCGAAACTGAGAATGTTTTGATCAAAGCTGCGTATGTGCATGGAACCTTGCGTTTATTTCCTGTATTTTTCTCACCTATTGTATGGAATATGTGTGAAAATCTTCTTTATGAATCGGTATATTTCAAAGAGCTACACAAGGAGCAAGAATACTATATGTATATACAGAGCGGGGGCAGCTGTAGTGTCAACTAGTACTAGTGTATTGATAGAGCGATTTTCGTTTGACCTTGAAATGAAAACTCGCGAACAAAACAGAAACAACAAACAACAACGCAAAAAGAGCGATTTGATTGGTTTATCGAACGGATACAAACGGGAGTGGCTTTTGGTTGGTTAAGCGAACGCTCGGGTGAAAAAACTTCATGCCCGAGGACTGTCTAGAAATCAATCGATACTTTGCTTTGACGTCATACTGCAACACGATTGGCCAATCGAACAATGCCTTCTCCTTACTAGGGTTTTCTTTGGCGGGAAAACGAAGAGTCCATATTTGATCTTTTCGTCCATTGACTGAGAAAACAAATAAGAGGGTCGTGAAGGGGGGTACCAAATCCCAGTTCCCAGCCTAAATTTGGCCCAAATCCCAGTTCCCAGGCTAATTTTTGCCAAAATCCCAGTTACCAAATTTTCGGTGTGTATAACGGCGTTATTTGCATTGACGTACTTGATTTCTAGTACCATTTTGCGAGAAACCTTTTCCGAAGCCATTTTTATCTTCCCTTCACAATATCTTCCCGCCATATGCAAACTTGCAGAACTTGTCCGCTGACCAGGAAAACTGACAGAACGTAACTATGCAACCGTGTAAGCCTGGTAGCTAGACCACGGGCGCGAAGGCGAAAAATACTGATTTCACGGTCTCTACTGAGGAGTGCAAGGTCTATTGCTACTAAATTTTATTTTTCTATTTCAAAATATGGGAGCAAAGACTGCTGAAGAAAAGAAATCCCATTCCCATTTTATAATTCTTCATCCCATTCCCAGTGGCTAAATCCCAGTCCCAGTGAGTAAATCCCATTTTCCCAGTCCACAATAAGGCTAATCCCAGTTCCATTTTACCCCTTCACGACCCTCAAATAACGAACACTTACCGAAACCATTTTTCAAGGTCATAAGAAAATCGCTCAGCTGCAAGGAGAACATTAATGTTGGTACCTCTTACGACTTAAGGGGTTAATTCGGGATCTGGGATCATCTATGATATTGAAAACCTTGAATAAAACTGGGCATCATTACACACATTTAAAATAAGTTTAATTATAGAAAATGTAAGTCTATTTGTTACAAGAATAAAAAAGAATGATAAAGCTCTATACACGTTGGGTATTTCTTTAAAAATTAAAAGTATTCCCCGACTTTGCGATTATCAAATGAATATAATCAGCCTTCGTTAAGGGAAGTTCTTCTCCTTTTGTTCGAAAAGAAATTAAGGGCCTTAATAAAAATTTTTGCACACCCTTTCAAAATTAATTTATTAACTTAAAAAAAGCGAATATTATCTTCCAATGAGCTTGCAATGAATAGTCTCTTTAGGGCGGCTTTCAACTGATGCATTTAGTGAACCAATAAGAATTTGAGTTCACCTGTAGCCAGCACCAAGGGCGGGAAATCGCATACAAGACTTAAATTGCCTTATATGGCTGATTGAGGAAAAGGCACGAGATTTCTTAACCAATCACTAACGCAGTGAATTCGTAATGTACCACCTCTTTGGTGAATAAAAGAAACTGTTTGACCACGATGGATTTCAAACATATTAGCCCCAAGAAAGGCCACCCAAAACCATCTATTGTAGATTACTAAACAAAAGATTAATTGCTGAATTTTTAAAAGATTAAATCCAACATCAACCTCCTGTCTCCCCCTTGAGTGAGAGAGTGCAGGACCGTAGAGACCCTGGTGAAATGACTGAAAACTCTTCAAGTAATGGCGTTTTGTGCCTGTAACTTGGGATCGACAGTGGATTATCTTTTCCGTGAGATGATCCGCATCCAAGTGCTTGTAGAAGAGTGGAGTTTGCATAAACGTGATTCTTTCACGACATGAAAACCGTTCATGGCGGAAAATAAATGTAGGCAATTTAATATGAAAGTTACCAATGCAATGCCGAGTAAATGCGTTCATTTGTAACAACGAAGCACATCGGTATCCAGGCACGTCCCCACCAAACCATCTCGCCACAAAAAGTCCAAACTATACACAGCAAGTGAAACGAACTTTCATCAACAAAACTTTTCTCCTAACCAATACGTTATCATATTTCAAAGAAAAGATTTTTCTGCCATTTTTTTTTTTCATGTAAATCTCTCAAATGTCAAATTTTACATTCACTGACGCTATTATCAGTATTTAGAGTGGTAACCCTTTAAACCCTAGGATCAAAATTGAAATTCTCATTTGCTGCACCTATTAATTTTGTATAGAAGTAGTAGGGAGAAGTTGACAAAACATTAAGCAAATTCATCTTGTGTGATCATGTCCATAATTCTCATGGCCACTCTGTTTTACAAAGCATTGATATTACAAGGAGAAATTTGATGCTGATCACTCAGTAGGGCTTAAAGGGTTAAGGGCATGAGAAGTTCGACGCAAGGATCCTCAATTAGGATCGACAGATTTGTATTTAGGTCGACTTCAACTTAGAATTAGCTTGACGAATGAGTAAAATCCTGGGTATTAAACTGTGTCAATTTAATATTTCCGAGTTATTCGATTATAGCGAGTCGACTTTTTGTTAGCGATTTCGTTGGCGGCGAGATGACCGTCAACCAACACATCTAATTTAGTACTGGTCAAGGAAATAGATCACTGTGTCCGGTTATGTCCATTTCCATACTTGGTGCACTAGCTATGCAGACTATCTTGAGCGTTTCTTTTACCATTTTAATCGAACATGGAGTCTAGCTCTGAAGAGAAGTCACACAGCATACTGTTGATATCTTTCATGAGTTCCTCCGCCGAACTAAAAGAGACCAAAAATGCAACAACTTTCAGCACAAACATAACGAGCGCATAAACAAAGAATTTTAATTTACTTTGATTCTTGTACTCATAAGCCCTTCAGGTTGACACTGACGTGGTGATAAGGATTTGATAATACGACAGCAATCATAAACAAGTCGTAAAAAGATTTACAGGAATAACCCTGTGAGAACAGACCCTTCCACGGATTTTTCAACCTTTTAAAGAGCCAGTTGGCGAAAATTCGTCGACAACGCTGCAAAAAGCGCCTTAAGACCAATAAAGTTGCCGAGTTTGAGAATGATTTGTTGACTAATAACGAAGAAACAGCTCCGCAAAGTCGCGAGATTTTACAAAAGTTTGCCTTGTAAGGGGAAAGTTTATGCACCCCCACCGCCACCCCCGCCACCACCTTGCAAACGTCAGGGGTACCCAGTGATGGTTTCCTCCGGCTAAATACACTGAAAACTCTTTTTAGGCTATCAAGAGTACTTAATAGATATCTAGAAATGCATTCTATGAGGCGCTATAAAATTTGCACCTGTTCTGTCATCCTAGGCGAACTTAAGTCTTTCCGAAATTACAAGGGCTTCAGTATTATTTTCCCGAAACTTTTCGACGCAATTGAACGTTTTACGAAAGAGTGAGAATTGTTCTTATTCCTCTCTCTAAACTATAATGCTTACTCTTCCTCAGTTTTCACCCCGTCCTTTCTTGTCGACGTTGTCTTTGCATCATTCTGCGGAATGTTAGAAATAGCCTCAGAGGATTCTGCAAGAAAAATGATCCACTGCATCAACGGCAACAAATTTGATAGGAAAATCATATATTCGCAGACAACATAAAATAAGATACATAGTTCAGCAAGGTCACATCAATTAAACCACGTACTAGATTTCCGGTCGTTTCGTCCGAATGCAATATGCGTACGAGGTATTCTCGCACAAAGAAGTAAATTTGCCTACAAGGTCTCTGATAGTACAAAACAGCTTTACCTTTAGTATGCAGAGTTAGGGCTTCACTTTGCTTTTTTATCATTTTGACCATAAAAAAGGTTTGAGATTACGCTTACAAAGTGCAAGCAAGGGAATTAACAAGATCCATAACGTTTGTGTATGATCTCCTAATTTTGCTCTAATAAAACGGAAAGGCCGTGGGTACCTGTCGTGACGGTGGCCAAGTCCTCTCTGGAACGCGGTCTCAGTATCTGTTTGATTTTTTTATCTAGTTCCCCTTCAGCTGAAATAAAATTCAGAATAAATTAAAAATGACATAACACGGAAAAAGGACCGGCTCCATGCTCCGTTTGACCACGAGCCAAAGTAAAGGAAGAGTTAAGAACAGGGGGGCGGGGGAGGGTATTACCTATGATGGCCTATGCGGGTAGCCTCCGCCAAAAAGGGGTAGGGACTTCAGTTGTTGAAGTATATAAAAGGCCTGGAAATTTGTCTTTCCGTCTGTAAATAGACCTAAAAGGGCTGATAGAAGAATTTAAGGCTGTGAAAAAAGTGTGTTTTGTTTTGTTTTCTTTTCTTTTTCATATCTTAAAGACACCGCATTTACAGCAGTTAAAAGGGGTGGAGCGTTCAAAAGTACGTATGTGCAAGTGGTATCATTTGTCAATGGAAGATATACGAAAAGGGTCCCTTTTCTGTCAAAAATAGCATATAAAAGGGTAAAAGGTTGGATCTCAGGGCGGCCCCCTCCCCCCGTGTAAAACTTTGTTGAGTACTCGGGGGAGGGCTAAGAAAGACGTGAGGGACGTTTCGTTTTCGGTAACCTATGCTTGTGAGGTTACTTCCTCCTACGGCCGCCCTACTGATACCACGCGGTGCTCACTGTCAGTGTTCCCTACAGAATCACCCCGTCCACCGGACCCCGAGGGTCTCCATTGTTGCATCAAAGAACGGTTGTGAAAAAAAAAAATAGCACAAAAGGTATAGTCCGAATATTAACCATCAGTTCAATATATAAAGTAGCCTGCGTGGCCATGGTAGATTATAAGAAGGAGAATTGTTAAGTACAATGACATAAATGCTATAAACATTGAAATGAAGTGCTTAACCTAACAAGATGTTAGTTAGTTCAAAAGAATGTTTACGAGCGCAGTTTAAATCTCCAGCTTTTTCTTACGAGAGTTATAGTGAATTCGTTTAATTTACGATAGAAGGTCTTTTTCACTGTTGGAAACAAATTGTTATCACAGTTTTTCATATTAGTAGTTTACAAGTTAAAGAAAGGTTAACATTATTCTCAAGATAAGCAGTGCTTTCGGTGGTTGATGCACAAGATCCGCGTGTGCCGAGTAGATTAATATGCGGTCAATCAGTTACAGTGCAGTGAAGAGTACTTGCTTCTTTTACACGCACTCAACCGCTGTTTACCTCTCGTGGCATCTGCCGCGCTCAATCTCTTCCCTCCACTGTACTCGTAAGATGTGTTCAGTCGTTCCGGAGCGCTACTTTTCCGGCCTGGCTTTTCAAAGCTTCTTCGTTTTTCCTCCATCTCTTCGATTATAGATTCCACCGAGCCTTGGCTGCTGGTACTGCTGCTACGCGAATGCAAACTTCCGTTTCCGCTGAGTCGGTTGCTTGGAGACGACGGCCACAAGTTGGGATTGGAACCTGTGCTGCTGCGCCCTGATGGCCAACGTGATTGACTGTTACTACGGTAACTAAACTCACATGCAATAAATTGACTCACGTGACTTGGGGTGCGTTCGATTGATCGTATTCCGGAATAAGAATACGCAAACGTTTTGTCCTAATCTCTTCTACCGTTATTTTTGGACCACTTACACGGTAGACACATCTGAATATTTCATTTCAAGCAGATTTCTAGACTTTGCAATGCAATGAATATTAAACAAACGATTTCAAGTGTTTACTCTCATTCCGAAATACGGTCAATTGAACACGCCCTTCGAAAGTGTCCAGCTCGCATGCAAGGCATATAAGCTTGTGCTCGGTTTCTGAAAGACCAGTTAGCCCTAATACCCTAGTACAATTTTAATCCACGATTGTATTTACCTTCCTATAGATTTTTCAGAGAATCATTTTGTCTTGTCGTAACTAGATCTCAGAGTTAAGGCTCAATAACATTTTCCAAGCTTCAGTAACATGTTCCTGGACAGGAAAACATTTCTGAAATTTGGCGTAACCCTGGTTAAACTTAAACCATCTTTTGAGGAACTGGGCCTAAATGGTCACTTTGAGATCCTGTGCAACTGCGGACTCTTCAGTGATTAGATAAAGAAAGCGAAATACGAAAGCACGAAACCCTGTTCATTCAGTTTCTAAGCTAAGATCAAAAATTGCTCCACCGAAATCGTTCACGTTTAAATCTAAGCTAAACCAGAGGGCGTACTACGTCGTCTACGCAGATAGCTGTGATCCATTATTAGTTCTCTTCAAGGTTACAGCTTCGCATGCAATAATTGACCGAGATTTCAGTGGATATGCCAGTAACCTTGAGCTTCAAATTTCATTTTTTACAGATTCACGATGTTTACCCTTACAACGTTAAATCATGCATTAAGAGGCTCCACTTATTAAAAGCATGCAAAAATGAGGAATTTTCACAAGAGACTGTCATGCTGTGCCGGTGAGGGACACAACTTTGTTTTAACTTGGGTTGAAAGAGATCCAAAAGCTGGCAATCGATGCTTGCACGCATGCAAGTATCCAGTCTATCAATAAACTGATAAAGAAATACAAGAGACCTAACTATAAAGTTTAAACGAGAATAAATTTAACCCTTTCACTCACAAGACGACTAAAACCTCCAAAATGTGTTAAATTTGTTTTGCAAGATACTGAGAAACAAAAATGATCAATCGAAAGTACTGCCAAAATGGTTTCGTTTGAATGGTAACACCAGAGAAGCTCACTCATCAGCCACTTTTCAAACTAGAGGGTAACTGGATCCATTTAATCTTCTCAAAGAATTCTGGGATCGTTACTAGGGACGCGCCGGTGAGCTATTGGTCAATTTTTACCCGTTCCTAAAACAGTCCCAGAAGTCTTTGCGAAAGTAAACTCGGTCCGGTTTTCTGCTCGGCGACTGGCGAATAGCGTCAAAAGTTGAAACTAGGTGTGGAGTGATCGAGTGAGAGGGTTGAGCGGGGTGTCATGCAATTGCGGTCACCATAGTTATCTTTTATGGTGTACTAAAGTAATAAAAAGTTATTAAGGTAGTAGACAATACAGCAGGGCATGGCTGATGAACTTGTGACCCGCATCCACTAGGAGCACTTCTGACCCTCTAAAACAAATTACAAATCGACACCCATTAAAACGCTTTTAACCCGTATAAAGGGGTGACGTTTACGAGGCGGAACTGAAAAAGTCACTGTTCCCGAGCTTAGTGAACTTAACGAAGCCCTAAGGAAGCTATATCGTCTAGAATCCTTTATGTTCAAAAAAAAAAAAAAAAAAAAAGAATTACACCATTCTAAGTTGATGTCACACGAAATACTGTCCCCCCCGCGAAAGTTTCATTTATAATGTATTTACAAACTACGCGACAGACAAGCCACGCGAACGACTTCGTAAACTCTAAGAGCCATGCAAAAGAGAAACCTCTGCTCGCAGTGTAGAATCACTCAGATCTCAAGCAAATATATTTACATTTCAGTTTTGCTTGGTTAGAAAGTGGTGCAAAATGTTTCAGCTGATCACCAACAAAATAATCAAGACATCATTCTCAACACTCAACTGAAATGACCCAACCTTTAAAAATATACTTACTGTCGACAGAAGTCTTTGGACTGAGAGGAGAATGTGGTTTCATCGGTGACCTATCTCCAGAGCTCTCATCTCCTGAGCTTTTGTCACTGGATCCCGAGAGAGACGCTGACTTTCTTGGTTTGGGTTTAACGGCAGGTGGAGGGGGCTTCTTGGCGCTTTTTGGTTTGACTGGAGGCGGTGGGCCTGGTTTCCTGGGCTTCTGAAACGTGGAGTCCACTGTGAAGGCCCGTATTCTATCATTTTCTCTCCGCACCGCATCCTTAACAGAACTAACTGGAACTTTGGAATCATCCGCCAAGTTATTTAGTTTAGTGTCGGGTACAGGAAGCGAGATGTCAATATCTTCCATGGGTGGAGGGGGACGGGGAGGGGGTTCGTCATCTTCGCTGTCCGGAGTAGGGTTAATGTTCAGTGTGTTTGCTCCTAGTGATGGATCCACATCGTTTTTATCAAGGACTTTTTCTTGAACTTCGGTGGATGGAATACTTTCCGCGTTATTTGATATTTGTGGAAGTTCTGAAGGCCGATCTTCCTGTTGATCTTCCTGTATGTTTTCACACGGCAATAGTGTCTGAGTGTCGTCCTTTCGTAAGCCTCGCTCGGGCGCAGATTCAGACTCAGCTGACGAAGAATCTTCCACGAACGGCTCCTCGTTGAGCAGAAAAGTTGGTGGAGGTGGAAAGTCCATTTCGCTGTCATCCGTTCTCGCGTTATCGGGTTCCACCTCATCCGTGGAAACGCCTGAATCGTCTCCGTCCAAACAGGTTTCTAAATAACCTTTTCTTTCCTGCGGTGTAAGCTCTGTCTCCGTCTGTATTGTTAACAAATTTCCGTTCTCGTCTCCTCCTTTCAGTGCGTTCACAGCCATCCATATCTTTCTCTGATGGCCTGGCTTTGTGACTCCAATCGTTACTAGGTCTTCCACAGTCATGTCTTGTAGGAAATCCATGTCATCAAATCCGCCGTCCATAAACTCGGGAATGTACTGTTCTAAACCAATAAGACGCAGCCAACTCATGATATCTTTCTGCAACAAAAGTATCACAAATTTTCAATGAACAATAAAACCTAGGGGGCACTTAGAGGTGGGTTTTGGTGGCGCGCCAAACCTCAAAAAAGCCTTCTCTTCAACAACTCGCCTGTGTAGCCCTTTCAACCCTTTGTAGCATACGGTAAAATTCCAAAAATAAGCCCCGGGGCTTATATTCTTCAAAGGCCCTTTTTGAGGGGCTCGTTTTTGGAGGGGCTTATATTCGGAGGGGCTTATCTACGGAGGGAAATTTGCGTTTAAAAATCGATTGGGCTAGCCTTATAGTTGGAAGTAAATTTACCGTTTTTGCTTTGTTCAACTTTATATTTGTGGGCAATTTTCCAAGTACAAGCCCCGGGGGGCTTACATTTGGAGGGGCGATTTAACGGGAGGGTTTTTTTGCGTCACCGGTTTGGGGGGCTTATATCTGGAGGGGCTTATACATGGAGGGGCTTATTTTCGGAATTTTACGGTATACAAAAACTCCTATCGTGTCGAGAAAGTCAGATTGTCGTATTATAGCAATGATCATACGAATATATTCCAGGTTCGTAGTCCAGGACTAAACAGGAGAAAGACTGAGGAGAGCAACTTACAAGATATTTAGAACTAGAATCTAATCGTATCACGACTTTAACTTACTGGTTTTTCATTTGGAAAAACAGTTGTTTCTTCCAATTTCGCCACCTCTGATAGGATCTTTTTTCTGTGTCCCGTTTTCTTGACGTTTATAGCCGTCAAATCCTAGAAAAAGATGGAATGGAACACACAAACCAGTATAATTATGCATCTAACTTTGAAACTTTTTTCTATAGCGTTAATGACTAATGGTGTCCGCGTGTCTGTTGCACGGGGAGCAGGAGGGGGTGGGTCGGGGACTGCAAGGTCACGTGCGATATTAGCTAAACAAGTAATACTGCCAAAAGGACCAAATTAATTAACAAATCTTGTGATTATGAAATATAAGATCCATCAATTGCCCTCATTAATCTGCTCGATTAGCCCCAGCTGTGGTGCCAAATACATCTCAGTGAAATTGTTGAAAGAAAGCGTATCGTTTCCGAAAAATGACATGTATGTTGTGTCTCTGGAGTGTCATCTACAAACAAGGAGCACTTTTACTGTTTCTAGAAGCAGCATTTTACAACATCCCGGGGGCACTAGGCAGGTATGTACCGCTGAACAGGGTATTGTTTTCTGGGTCCTAGTTCCATATATGTCAGTTTAAGGAGGAATCCATCAGGAAATTGGGTAATTTTAATTTTCAGTGGACAAAAACCTTTTACCAGAATAATTTAAGCATATTGTATTCTTGTATGCAATTAGTTATCTGTAATAACACCAAAGAAAATTTCACATGAAATTTTCAGAATTTTACCTCACGTTTTCACAATTCCCGTGAAATTTGACATTTATTTTCTCGGGCTCCCATAAGAAATTTTCTTTGCTGTTATTACAGATAACTACTTACATCTATAGCCCTTGAAAAATGTAAAAAGGATTGCAATATTCTCTAAATTATTCTGGTACAAGGTTTTTGTCCACTGAAAATTAAAATTACTCAATTTTCTGGTGGATTCCGTCTTAATTTCTTGTGCGACGAAACGAATCTGGGTCGTAAAGTACGTCTCTTGTTGTCGTAAACAGGGTCAGGGTTTGAAGGACTCGGCGGCAACCCCTAAACTTCATTTGAGTTCCCCCGGGACAACTTCCAACTTCAGTTAGGGCTCAAAGGCTCGAGAAAACCTCGGTATTTTGTGATTTTTTGTAAAGTTGATACTCGAGTGACTTGTCACTCCTTGCCTTGTGTGTGCGATGAATGTTGGATTCCCTCTCGTTTCGGAAAGACTCCCACGTCTTCCCTCTGAATTTAAACCTGTTAAACAGTCACTAGAGATTCAGCTCTGGGTTAGAAACTTCCTTAACTAGAATTTAATATAAAAACAATGTTCAGCCCGTTTTCTGTTCAAATTAACAGGATTAAACTCTAGGCTAGGAGTGAAATAATCACTTGTTACCTCTGCTGTGAGTCCATGCATACTCGTCATGTCAAAACCACCTTTAACAAAATTGTCGATATAGATGGTCAACTTGAATCTCTCCAACCAGTCGTACAGCGCGTTGTAGTCTCGCATCTAGAGAACGAAACGCAAAGAAATATAGCACCAGAGTGAGTAACAACCAAAAAATAGTCGTGCATTGGAAACGCACAGGAAAAAAGTACTCAACTATCCCTAAATGGCTCTGAGTTACATACTTAATTTGTAATGTTAAGTGGCATAAGATGGAGACAAGAATTGGAAATGAGTTCAGGTCCAAACAATTTGGCAGTGAGAAAGATAAATGACTACCCGCGAGCAAAGGCTACTTTTCATGAAATGTACTGGCGCGCGAAAAGCTTCTTTTTGCAAGCCGATATATACCTACGAACCGACGAAATAGTAGCATCTGCTCACGATCTTAGTGGTTAACCTTTGAACCCCTAATACTAATATGTGTCCTCCTCACTTTTTTCCTTACATTTCTGGCGGCATTGATGAGGAGAATTTGTTTAAAAATGAAGACCTTATTTGCTGATGTTCCGATATTTAGACGACATGTTTGCTTAGTTGATTACGCAGTGTCATTATGAAAGAGAAGGAGAGTCACTGTTGGCCTTTCAAGACGGGTTAAAATGATTCAGTAAAAACAAAAAACCCGGAATCCATTCAATTATCATCATTATTGCTGTCAAGCAAGACAGTTTTGCACTGATAGTAAATAAGTAACGATAAAAGTAAATAATACAAAATTTCACTAGTGACAAACGACCGTTTCGAACTCACCAAAAACATTTCTAGTAACACTAGAACTGTCTATAATAAAAGTGAAAAACAAAACTGTCCAAAAACGAGTTTTGGGTAGTTCAGAGACTCACCAGGGTAACACACTTGTTCACTTGAAGTAAGCAACGAGGGAATGTGCATGTTTAAAACTAAGCCAAAATTGTAACTTGTTTATAAACGAGTCGGTGGTATGCTATCCAACCACAAACAACAGGTACACGGAAACAAATATCTCGATTATTTCCGCTCTCTTAAATGCTGCTGAACACCCCCTATAACTAAATAAGGATAATTCCTTATTCACACAACTTACATCAACAAAAAGCCCACGAAAAAATCTCCTTTCAGTGATAAATGACGTCAATGCTATTTATAACGAGGTTGAACGAATCACTTCACTATCTTAAGACAAGTATAATCCACTATTAACCACGATCCTCACTCTTTTCGAAGAAACGTTGACTCTAACTTGCGGATATTTTTCTCAGTAAAGCTGTGGAGTAATCTAGTACTTGACTCTGATTAAGTATATCAATTCTCTGACGGGTGGGTCCACCACCTTGAGCCTATTAACCGCCAAAGGCTCTTGAAATTTGACCTGGCGACTTCCGTAATATGGTGCGTCTGTCTGCACGATATCGTTTCCAATAATTCCTACGCAAGTAATGAAAACTCCAATCGAGTCGGGATTTGTCAGGGCTTTTTTCAGCGTTTGTGAGCGGAAGGAAGGAAGAATGCCCACGCTATACTCTTTTGAATGCATGACGACGCATAAAAAAACCTGGTGTGTTCTGTCAGCTTTCTTGACTCACCTTTAGCGGGATTTGACCCGTAGGCTCCGAGCGATCACCCGCGCCCGCGTTTCCTAAACAAAACGAACAAGAAATGTCATAAGCCAAGTGGAAGCAGGCACCAAGCACCAAAATCAAAGATAAACAGATATTAAAAATATTCCTTTTCCATGACAAAATATGTTTCTATCAGCGTTGAGAAACATTTCATAAACATAATGCGTACAATGGGTGCAATCAATACAGAAGAACAGCATGACCGAGGCCTGAAACGCAGCAATGAGCCCTCCGACATGAAACCTTTCTTCAGCCCCCCCGGGCCCGGGGGGGGCACTTTAGGAATTTCTGGGTGGGGATGTGCCGCTGGGACCCTGGAACCCTTAACCTATACCAGAGCTAGTTCAGCTGAATTTTGCCAGCCTATACTAGAGTAAACTCCCCAAATCCCCCTATCCTAGAGTAGCTGTTTCCCCAGTCTAGATAAAATCTTCAACCAACTGATCAGTTTCCTGAAAAATGATAGCCTATTCTAGACCCAAACGCTCTGATTTACATACTCTATCCTAGAGTAAACTGATTGAAAACGATACCCTTCACAGCGGCACATACCCGTATAGCCCATATATGGCAGTACCCCCCCGGTCTTCAGCTTACAAAATTGTACAGCAAAAACAATACTAATGGAAAGTATTGCTAGATATGATAATCACATGGCAAGATTTTATCCACAGACTCAGACATTTAAACAAATATCGCCACAGTTTGAACAAACAAACAAGTGTTCTTGTTTATTCACATCCACATTCTATCACCTAGAGCTTTGATTCAGCAATAAAAATGCTATCACGCGATAGTAATAACGCTACAAAGCGTTTCTTATGTACATCACCAACTAATTAAGTGTAGGAGCCGATGTGACAACAGAGAACCTAAGCTGCGAAGAAGAAACCCTAGTTTGCAATTATTCCACCTTTTTAAACTTGTGAAACAAACTTGTAGATTAAGTATTTAGAAAACGAACAAGTAAACTAAAAATATGTCAGCGCAAAAATCTTACGAAGCTGCATTAGCAAGGCTCAGCAGTGATAATAACGGATTTCACTGTCATGAGTTCACGTTTTCCAAAAAAACCTTCAGTTAATCTTAGCTGCGTTGTCGTGTTGCAGAAGCTGGCAAACAAATGCACAAAAATGAATATCGTGGCGTAGACACACAGCCGCCGTCTTCAGTTCATTGCTTACGCTCTCCAATATTCCATGCAAGAACCTAAGCCTCTATAACTCATCGGATAATGGCGGAACAATTAATTGTATCCAAAGAATTGTGACCACAAATTCTCCAGAAACGCGGACGAATCATAAACATGACGTCAAATATTGTCCTCATACGCAGTGTCAGGCACGTATATTTACACGTTTCCAGAATTCCAGAGAATGAAAATGCATACTTTGTAATTAGCAGGTTGAGATTTAAGACTCTTTACTTACCAGGTTTTTTAATGTTAACATATTGATGTTTAACAGGTAATGCATCACTTTTCATCAGCTCATAATCCATCGCATCTGTAGTCTCGCCTGCAGCAAAAGAAACTAGTCAAACTAGCAAACATAGACTGATAGAGACATTTGTAAGAAAAAACAATGATTAACGTATAAAGAATGACCACTACGCTGAAACGTGAATTAACGAAAAGTATTCTGAGCGTAGTTTTTCCCTACAAGACAATTTTTAGACCCTGCTTACAGCTTTATCAGAGCATAGTAAGTAGAGGAGACTGGTAATGAAAGGCGGCAAACATCAACGATAAAAACGTGATGGGGAGCTCCCTGACGATGCACAATCCTTTTTTTGTTGTTGTTGTTCACGAAATGTGACGGAATGAATTAATGCGACGTTTTTGTTGATCAATAAGATCAAAATGACTTAAATGATTGGAATCCTATTAAACGTTGTGCGCCCTCAAGTCCACAAAAACATACAACAAGGGAGTCTGACAGGCTTCATAACCATTCCACTATAAAATATAAAACTATGATCAGAGTCGACCAGGGATTAGGAAAACTCGTTCCGTATACTGTCCTTCTCAGTATCCGTCAGGCACACTTCAGTTACCTTATATCAAAAAAAGGGGGATTTCTCGACGGAAAAATTAGAATCAAACAGCTAAAGGAGGGCGTGGCTCAGTGAGCGGGCGCTCAGACTTTATTTGACCTCTAAAGGAGATCATGCTAAAAGAGACAACCAAGTAAAGGCGATAGTGATGTAATGGCGCTAATGAGAGCTGTCTTTAACACAGTATGGAGGCGTGTTTTTTTTTTTTTCAAACAAGATACCGTAAAATTATTTTCGGAATTTTACGGTATTTCTTAATGCACAGTCCTAAACGATACTTGTATGTGTGAAGAAATTGGCTTTCGGTCCTGACCACCGTAACTAAGTGAGACCAACATCCGCCATTAACAACGTACAGCGAGAAGACGGTCATCCCCGTCCCTTTGATTTGATATGGGAGTGACACCCAAATTTGATGTAATCTCTTTAAGGTTAATTTAAAAGGGGCTATATCACGAGGATATTGCTGTTTTAGGTCAATTCTATGCTGAAGTCAGAACTTACTGTCTTACCCGTACACAAAATGCTCCGTTAGAGATAAAGCCTGCGTAACAGGCACTTGGAAGTGATGGGCCCAAGAAACAACGGGGCGCGCCAGGGAGACACGCGCCCATTCTTCCTAGCGCTCAAATACTTCCAAGCGCCTGCTACGCCCGGGGGGACTCCGCACATGAAAGGGGTGGGGATGCTCGTCGGAAATTTTGAATTAAACCCTTAAAGGTGACCGATCTGCGCGTGGCCCAAGCTTTATTTGACCCCTAAAAGACACCATGTTTAAACACAGACAAATGAGAAAACTTGGATTATATAAATGGAGTAAATAAAGCGAATTAAAAATAAACATATCAAATACATATGATGGCGTTTTGCCCAGAACACCCTAAATGAGACCAAAATCCGAAATTTACACCCCTAAGAGAGACGACGAGCATCCCCACCGCTTTCATATGCGGATTCCCCCCCCCCCCGGGCTGCTACGCAGGCTATCAGAGATATGAAGAAGATATCGAACAGATTTCAACAGGGAGCAGTTAACATAATAATTTTAATTCTATTTCCATCCTTGTCATCTGCAGAAACAGACGACAGGCAACAGTTTCAGTGCCTGAATATAGTCTTAAATGATAAAAACTGGACCATTATTTTTAGAATTCAAATGACGCGAAGACAAGTCAGTTTAGCTGTTTAACCCCTTAAGTCCCAATAGCGACCAAAATCAATTTTCTCCTAACGATATCCATACATTGTAAAGAGATTAGGTTATGAGAATTAATAAAATGATCACCAATGGGAAAACGCTTTGATCTTTTATCAGATTCTCTTTACTCATTCTGTAAGGAAATATATAGAGATCAGTTTGGAGAATTTGTATGTGGATATTGGTGCTTAAAGGTTTAAGAATACTCTATACCTTCATCAGCGGAATTCCTGTCCTCTGGAAGTTCTACTCCCACGGTTTTATTATCCGTCCGATCAATTTGTTTTGAGATCGACGGAACACCTCCAGTCATCGGCACATAATAGCCATCATTCTTAACGTTCTCATAAGCCGCACGTTTCGTGGCTGAAGAAGAGGTACGTGGCGTGACGGCACCTTGCGTGACAGCGCTAGGCGTGACGTTTTCATAGCTCCTCGAATCAGCTGGTTTTGAACGCTGTTGGTTAACAACAACATATCCATCCTCACCCTCTGCAGGTTGATCAATGTCTGAGATACGCATGCTTTGCTTGTCGCTTAGTGGGACCTTTCTACTTTGCGGTAAGCTGACGTTTTCGTACGGTAATGGCTGCTGCCTAGAATGTTCTCGAATATTCACTGGCTGTGGTTTCCATACGTCTTCGACAGGCGGAGTTTCCCTTCCGCCACTAACTGGGCCAACAGTCATTTCCTCGTATCCTTTCCTTGACAACTCGGGAGTAGCTACCCGCTTTTTGGCCTGATTGGAAACACTAGGAACCGACCGACCCTCGGGATTCGCATGACTCGCGGGTTCGGTTACGGTTGGAAGCACTACGGGTGGTCTTACAGCCTTGGCAGCTGATGAATCAGAATCAGCAGCGTCGCTCTTAGTCCGTTTTTTGGGAGGTAAAGATGGCGGGGGGTGGGAAGGCGGTTTTCGTACCCAAATATCTTCCGGTTCGTCTACAGAAAGAGGCTTTTTATTACTTTTTTGCGGCAATTGAGGAACGTCTTCACATTCGTTCACCTCCTCCACGTAATTATTCGGTGGTAGAAGAACTTCAGCGTATTGTGTTTTGCTGTTTGCCTTACTTCCTCCCGCTGAGCTCTGAGGGGGTGATAATGGCACTTTTTCGACTGCTACTTCCACATACTGCAAACCAGTGCCCAGCTTGATTGAGCCCTTTTTGGCCTTCAAACCTTTCTCAGGCAACGGCACAGGTGCAGGACTAGGGCTTTGATCAGCGCTTTCAGCCCTTTCATCGCCACGGTTGCGTGCTCCCTTTTTACCAAAGCTACTTAACCTTGGAGAATTCCTGTTCATTCCTGGAGACGAAGGTACTGAAAAACAAAAACAACAACAAACAACTTATTTTCAGTACCGGAAATTTAGCAAGGATATTTTCATAACAATAGATATCCCCTATTAGATATCCTAGCGACCATTTTAACCCCTCCATATCTCATTGTATATTCAAGTGTATTGTAGGTAGTGAGAATATGTTTATATCTGTAAACATCTTAATCAACCTTTCACCAACGTGAATCAAAGAAAAACAAGACTCTCAAATGCCAAAATGCTGGAGCAAATCTTCAACAAATCTCTCTGGCAAACAAAGAACGGGTTCCTTTGTATCTTTTTCAGTTTCGCGAGACTGTAAATCGTTTGAACTTAATTTGAAAATCATAGTAGTAGACAGTTAGAAGTCTTGGAAGTGTTAACCAAAAGAACTGCGGAAGACTTGTCTCAAAGTACATGTACACATCCTTTTACTCACTGTGTTATGTCCGGGCGACATTTTCCCCCATCTCGTTCCAGCACAATGGAAACTCGATATAACGAAGAGCCAAGAAACTGGCAAAATATGTTCGCTATAACAGGGTTTTGTTTTGTTTGAGGTTCTTTTCCTTAAACTTTATTATTAGTGGGTGGAAGAACATCGTTCGCTATACTGAGGACTTCGTTAAACACAGGTTCGTTATACCTGGTGCTAAAGCGACCATCTCGTAAGATCCCTTAGCAACAGCACTGGACTCTGCCCTTGATGATCTCTTGCCTGAAACTTAATTTGATTGTCGTTAAACTGAAGTATTGTATTGAAAAAAAAACGTAAAACCAAAAGATTCCCCTAGCAAATTTTGTGGTATTACAGGTGTTAAAATTATGGGATCCCTAATGAAAATGTTCCCAAATCTCCGCTGAAAAACTCGGGAAGATGCAATGTAGGAGGGAGAGAAGGTGTGTGCTATCAGCTCAACTTGAACCTAACAGAAAATTTGACAGGAGTCGAACGTATGACCTTTTGTTTACTTGTCCAGATACTTTACCACTGAGCTATACAAGACTCGTGGAAGCTACGGCCACTAAACTAGAATCAAGTGACAAACATTCTTCATACTCATATGACTGGAATATCAATTTCTCAAACTCATTAATAATTCATAAAGAAAATTCAAAGGAAATTAATGTTTAATGAGTGTTTGGATATCAGATGAAAAACTGCTCATTTTTGCATCCTTAATTTCTCCTTCAAAAATGATTTTGTTTGAGAAGAAATATCAAACATTCGACACAGTGTTTCATCACCAGATGAAACACCTCGAAGTTCGTCAAAAATACTCGTATTTTCAACTCTCTTCTCGGTGTTTCATCTGGTGATGAAACACTGCATCTCATGTTTGATATATTACGTCACATATTATGATGACAGTGGTGATGATGATGATGATGATGATAGTGGTGGAAGTGGTGGTGGTGGTAGTGATGATGATGATGATGATGATGATGATGATGATGTCTAATCGCAAAATTATACGGCTATTAATACATTAAAAAAATATATATAACTCATGACAAACTATGAATGACAAATTTCCTGAACCAACCTCGCCTAGACGAAGGTAGCCTAACACAGTTTCCTGGAAAGTAGCCCACTTTTTCTTTCTGTGAAATAATAAGTAAAAACTTTGATCTTCTACTGTTTCAGTTAAGCTTTAGCTTGATAACTCATCTCCACAGCGTAAATTCAACCAATGTAAAGAAAACAACCGTTAGAGGTCAAAAACCACAAGCTAAACGGAATAAGAAATGACCAGAAAGAAACCAGTATATTAAACTACAAAATGAAAACTTGATTAAATATAAACAATGCATTAACCACCAAGTGCTTACATCTCCACTTTTTATTTTTCCTTTCCATCTATCATTCTCGTTTTGTTCCAATACCTAAAATGAGAGACGAAAAAAGAAACATCAAGGCAATGCAAAAAAAGCCTTTTAATATCACGTGACTGCTCTGTTAGAGTAAATTCAATTAGCCAATCAGCAAATAGGTCATTTGCACGATGGCATCATTTTACTACTGCGACCAGAATCCTCCAGGGTTTTGCATTCTTGTGCAAATTAGGACTTTTGCTATTTAAACCTCGACGGGATTACCAAATTTAAATGTGACAGGCAAAACGAAAACAAGAGCCCCTAACGAAAAGGATTCTGGTCGTAGTAGTAAAATGACAAAGGATTAAATTAACTGCAAAAACCGTGGACGAGGATCCTGCTAGTTGTAAACGTTGGATCTCTAGAAAAGAGATCTAATCAGCCAAAATATAAAGAACCAAGAACGAGAAGTCCAAAGACGACTGTAAAGCTGATTTCAAACAACGTGTATTGTTATTTATAACAATATTTCGGCTGGCCATACCAGCCTTCTTCAGGTTTACAGATGTTACAGAACTTATGTAGCAATCACAATATTATAATTATTGCGACATTCTCCATATATATTATATTGTGATTGCTACATAAGTTCAGTAACATCTGTAAACCTGAAGAAGGCTGGTATGGCCAGCCGAAATATTGTTATAAATAACAATGCACGTTGTTTTAAATCAGCTTTGCAGTATTCTTTGGACTTCTCGTTCTTGGTAAAATGACACCATCGTGAAAATGGCCTATTCGCCACTTGCACATCTCCCATAATGTACCTTATTTGCCCCCAAAATTTTGCATAACCTTTGTTTTTCACTTCTCTTGGGTATTACAGCCGTCCTAAGAGAAATTGAAAACAATGCTTATGCAAAATTTTGGGGGGCAAATAAGGTGCATTATGGGAGATATGCAATAGGCGAATTTCGAGAGCACAAAGCGCGGGAAATCGTGTGTAAGCAAGTCATGGTTGCTTTGTTTTTACTTTCGATTGGTAGGTGAGAAGGCCATAAAAAACAAGCGAGCAAACACCACAAGGAGCGGGAAGACTGACGTGCGCAAGCAGGCCATCGTTACATCTACATCGCCGTCAAACGTAGCGGGTTTTTTCTCTCTATATTTAGTGGGACTTTATTAACACGGGAAAAGATGTTTAAAATAAATGGTAAATGCGACTATTTTCATTTTTTTTTCCTTTTTCTCAAAATCAAGAGCAACAAAAAACAACAAAATAAAAACCTCGTGCCCGTGTAAAGTGGAGAAAACAACAAGTCCGCTGTTTCAGTTTTCAAACAAGAAGAGAGCAGAGCTGTAGGATCTCAATACACGATTATCAGAGAGGAAAATAAAGAGCGTTTGAGTGACCAGACCTTTTTAAGAGGAGTTTGACTACTAACTTTTTTAGTAGTAACGTTTCAATCTTTAAAGGACGAAAATGACAACCTAAGCTTTGAAGCACTTTGTTTAACGTTTGCAATTTTCCCTTGTTTGACCACGGTTAAGGCCATTGTTTGTTTGTTACTTCAGAAAAAAAGCAAAAAAAAAACATGGATTGACTAGCTGATCGCAACACGTCCCAGTACAATAGTAAATTGTTGGGCATTACAGTCGAATATTAATTAAAATCGGCTGTATGTGCCTTCTTGTTTCAGGTGGAATATATAAACACAGTTACAAAAGACAACCATTGGGCCTTACGATAATAGTGTCTCCAGTCTTGAAGGGTAAAGCTGTAGGATCCAGCATGTTGAAGTGATCTCTTACAGCTCTGGCATACACAGTACGGTCTGCAGCAGCGGCATCTGAAACGATTGAAATTATCAATGAAAAAAAACTCTCTTCTTGTTATAAGAGTCATGTAAATTGAAGAGCGACAAAACGTTTTGTTGACCCAATCCATAGTTATTAGAGGAGACTGGTTATGAAAAGCGGCAAACATCAATGATAAAAACAACAGTGCTGCAGTTTATGTTCAAAGCACCGTGAAAGTGCACAATCCTTTGTTTTCTGTTGGCAAATTGTGACGGAATAAATTAATGCAACGTTTTTATTGGTCAATACAATCAAAATGATAGGAATTCTTTTGAACGTTGTGCACTTTCAGGTCCACAAAAACATATAACAAAGGAGTCTGACGGGTTTCATAACCATTCTACTCAATTAACTATGCCCAATCGTTTTGTATTGTACTTTAAGCATGTTGTGAATAGAGTTTTGTTTCTTGGCTGGTTGAAGAAGAAAAAGAAGAGCGTTTGACCGCAAAGATAAAGAATCAAACCTTTTAATAGCTGCTTGATTTCTGACGATGCTTTGGAACTTGTGAACAGGTTTACGACATCAAGTGCTGAGTATCCTTCATCATTCCTGGCATTTGAGTCGATGCCCCACTGGAATTAACACAACAAACAAATATGACCTTCCATCTCAGGGCGATTTTACTAAACCTTAAATCTACATTAATTATTTTCAATACCCTAAGAACCTGTTTAAAGGAATTCCGCCGACGTGATAGTTCCAACACTGTCCAACAAGTTGTTCAAATGGATCCACCATGTTGCATTCAACAGTGTTGGGGGTTAACGGTCGTTTTAGTTAAGTTTATTCCGTAGAGGTGTAATACATGTACTAAAAAATAGTTTCACGTACTTGGCTTAAAGAAAGAATATCTAGCCTGTACTCAGACGTTGTTTTATTTTTCTTTTGGTTCTTTTAGAAAACATCGGAGTGCGTGACAGCGAGGCAAGCACGCGAGCGAAGCGAGCGCGGAGCGCGAGAAAGAATTTAATATCTATTTTCTTCTTCCCCCGCCCCTACCCCTTTTCGCTGGAGGTCAATAAATCCGCCGCGGTTTATTGCTCGACGGACTTTCATGAGAAAATAGAGGGTGTGTGAACAGGCTGAAGAATATCAGACCCCAAATCTTTTCTTGTTCACGCGAACTATACTTGAAGCTGTCAAAATTTTTATGCAATTTCACTGCTTGAGTTCTTATCGAAACGACTTTGTTTCGAAACGAGCGGTTTCCGTGTTAGGCAGGTCTTATAGTTTCAGCAACCTAAAAAGTACGTTGAACACACTCAACGTCATGATCCTCCAATGGTACGCAATCAATTCTTATACATGTCCCTCGCCTATTACTGTAGTTAATTTGCCTTCTACTATCCCAGCAAGCGTGAATTTTTTCAGGCTTTCTTTTCGCAACTGCATAAGTTGCGTATTTAACCGTACTGGGAGCGTCTCTTTATTTCTTTTCCTTCTACTGTAGTCAATGATCTCCAACCCCCCCCCCCAAAGGGATAGATAACTGGTTGTCTATCACTTGTACTTACCACTGTTTTACACAGTACGTCCACTCTCTTCTGTCTGACGATGTTTTTCAATTATGTACCGTGAGCCGCAGAACTAAACAAGTTAGCAGGCGAGTTAACCGAAATAATAACCAGTCAATACAGGTCAACACACAGGTCTAGCTACTGCTCATACAAATGTATTCCTCCTCAAGTAGAGAAACCATCTAGACAGAGAATTACGTATTTACTCGAATAAGCGCCGCCCCTGATTAAGCACGGCCCCCAAGTAAGCATCGCATTTGCGACAAAAAGTTAATGAGCGCCGCCCCGAATAAGCGTCGCGGCCCCGAAAAAATAGGGAGCTTAATTAAGCAACAACGACGGCGACGTTAACGAGAACGGCAAAAAAGCAATAGGTTTAGATTGGCAAAACAACAACTTTGCACGTGCATCACGCTTTTTTGTACATTTCTTTGCCGTCACTGCACGACTACGACGTGAAAATACCTAATTTCACGTTTTGTGGAGGACGTGAACACAAGACAACGACTTTCTTTTCCTTTTGTTGAACTTTGATACAGTCTTTTAGAATTCAACTCCAGAAAAAAAATGCCAACATTTGACGAAAAGAACAAGAAATAACGGCTACAAAGTTTGACGCTGCGCGACTTCACGTTATAAGTGACGTTTTCGTAGCTGTCGCTGCCGTTGTTGCTTAAGCTTTCTATTGAAAATTAAAAGGTTCTTAGCTGGCTGAATACAATTAATAACAATGCCAATAATAATAATTTCACTTCAAACTTTCAAATAAACGCCACCTTCAAATAAGTGCCATCCTCAAATAAGCACCGCATTTGAGGCGCTTAGTCGAGTAAATACGGTGTTTATTTATTTATTTATTAAGCCTTAATAAGAGAGAGGGACTTGCAAAGGGCAGATTACCTCCAAAAGTGTCTTAACTACTTCTGTTTTTCCATAAAGAGCCGCTTCATGTAAACAGGTACCATTGCTTGTAACATGGTTGAGATCTGCATCAGCCTCTAACAACATTCTGTAAGGTACACAAAAGCTTAGTATTGCCCTATTGGTCCTATTAGAAACAGTGCTTGAAAAAAGTCCCGTCTACCTGCTAGTCTGGGACAAGTAGATTTTCTTGCTGGGCAAGTAACTTTTAAAGCTTTCTTGACTAAAAACATGATTACTGGGAATTAGCAAACCATTTACAGTTGTGTATGTTACAGGTCAAAATTAAATTCAGGTTCAAAATTCTTAACCTAGTTTGATTCTCAATTTCCTTTTTCTCTTAGCCCTGATTTTTCATGAATTAGGGCTAGGAGACAAAGGAATTTGAAACCAGCCAAGGTTACACAATTTTAACCTGAATTTAATTTTAACACGTAAGATGTACAATATAACAGGAAGCTTTGATAGAACTATGGAACATGACGTAATACAAAGAAACAACCCGAGCTTTACAGTGACCATACCTTACTATTTCCACATGGCCAGTCTTGGAGGCCAAGTGTAATGGGGGATCATTTTTTGTTGGTTCACCACTTGCTAAAACACTGCGCACTTCTTTTGATTTGAGAAGCAGTTCAACAACCTACAACAAACCACATTATTTACCAAATTAAAAATTATCAAAAAATGATAGCCACATCACTTAACATAAATACCTACCAAACACTAAAAATACCGTAAAATTCCAAAAATAAGGCCCGAGGCTTATGTTTTTCAAAGACCCTTCTTTAGGGGCTTATTTTTGGAGGGGCTTCTATTCGGAGGGGCTTATCTACGGAGGGAAATTTGCGTTTCAAAATCGATTGGGCTAGCCTTATAGTTGGAAGTAAATTTACCATTTTTGCTTTCTTCTACTTTGTCTTTGAGGGCAATTTTCCAAGTACAAGCCCCCAGGGGGCTTATATTTGGAGGGGTGATTTAACGGACGGTTTTTTTGTGTTATCTGATTGGGGGGCCTATATTTGGGGGGAGGGGCTTATACATGGAGGGGCTTATTTTAGGAATTTTACTGTAAATAACATCCACTAGCCTGAAAAAACAGCTGACATTTGGCGATGCTAACACTGGTTTCCCTGTGAAATGACATCTGAGGATTCCATACTGGTGGCGCCTTACTACTCCAATCCTGGGTAGTGACACATCATCAGTATGGAATTTCTGCATTTCTCAGATGTCATTTTACCGGGAAACCAGTGATGGCAGTGCAAAATGTCTTCTGTTTTCTCAGGCACAAAATTCACTGACCCCAAAACAATTCCTAAAGGTAAAAACACCACTGCACTACACTTCATACACACCCGCTCCTTCCCCCTCAATCAAATTTGTTCTTCCAAGTTTTGACCATGGCCTTGTATTGTTAGCAACTCTTAATGAAGGCAGGAGGGGGAAGGGGGAATGGAAAGCATGGGCGTAATTTACAACTGTTCTCTGGCAACTGGTTGTACCTGTCAAATCAGCATGGGAATTAGCGTGCACAAATGGATAAAGTCATAGAATCATGGTTGTCATTTTTGGGGATAAGGATTTTCATTGAAAAAAAAAATGCTTCCACATATATTGCGGGCAATGGGAAAAGAAAACATTTATATTACATCTCTACAGAACAAGGGAGTGAAAGGGTCAAACCCTCTACCCCCTGTTGTCTTCTGATCACTTTTAAACAACCAGACTTGAGGCAAGTATATAAACATGAGTTACCGGTAGTTGTTACACATAGCTCGATAACAGTTGACGAGATACGTACATGCACATGTCCAAATCTGCAGGCGAGGTCCAAAGCAGATTCTCCACCTTTGTTTGTACTCCAAGAATTACAGCCTCTGTCTAACAGTACATCCACCTGTACAGGCAATAAATAACCCAACCATCATCAACATCAGGACATCAACTCTAAGTTATTACCTTGCTGATTTCTAGTTCAATAATGAAGGGATTCCTGGAAAAAAAAGCCCCATATAATCTGTGATAAACTCCCAGATTCTCCTTTCTGCCTTACACAACGTTTGTAACTCAATCCCACACACCCCTTACAATATCCTTTCCTTGCATGGTCACATATTCTTCATTGGTTTCATCCTCATCATCATACCAATAATAATATTTTACTGGTAAAATAAATTTAAACTAAGGATAAAATTTGCCCAAAACATCTACACAGGTAAAGACTGGGATTTTTTCACAAACCACATCAGAGTTGCCATGCTGACATGCTAAAATAAGAGGTGTGTCTCCATTATCTGAGCCTGCATTAATGTGAGCTCCAGTCTCCACAAGCAGACGTGCAACTTCAACATTTCCAGACCATGCTGCTAGATGCAACGGTGACATGCCTGATAAGGGAACAACAGAAAAATATGAGAATATTACTCTCCCATGCAAACACTCTTAGGGCTTTGTCATGCACTCCGTCCCTATGATGGGGAGGATTGCATGACAAGCTAAAGAATGTCTGTGTGGGAGGCTATATGAGAAGTGGATTTGAACCAAACTCGAGCTCATTCTCTAGGGAAATTATCAGGGAGAAGAAGTGGGTCTGACAAAATTCAGGCAAAGCAGGATTGTATCCACAATAACCTTGCCAGAGAGAATAACCTCATAAGCAGCACACACTAGCAGGCTTCATTGCACAGCTTACAAGCTAAAAGGGAACTAGGGATTTAGGATTTTGATTTGACTTTCATTTCATCAGTTATTTTGTTCACATTCCTAACCACTCAGTCTTAGTTTACAAAGCTTACTGTATGCAACTTCCATGCAATTCTGTAGTTCTGTTGTCACACTAAAGCTGAGTTCAGTGGCTTCTCAGGCAAACAGCCCCTAGGGAGGGGAGGGTGGAGATAATGAATTGAGTCCCAGTTTTTCTGGGACAAATAATCAACAAGGGTTTTGATCACACTCTTTCAAAGTCAACTTCCCAGCAATCTCACTTTGCATGGAATGACAACATACATGGAAATGCCCAAAATAGCAACTCATAGTGCCTTATTTTCAAAGTCATTCAAGGAGGATTATGTTGGGATAGGATGGACTTTCATGGTCCAGGACAGTGGACTTAAACTACAGGTAATCACATTTTTATCTTTTTGAATGTAAGTCTGTGCTGACAAAAATGATGTCCTTCCTTCTTGCAATTGCCCTGCCCTTAAAGTTCTTGTATATTGAAATGTGTTCATAATTCCATCTTGGTCAGATATCACCAAAGAAAGATTGAACTTTATATCAGGTAAAACAGAGGACATGCTACACTAATGTAAAAGAAAACTTTGCTACCCGAGTCAATGTTGTTACGTGACTTTCATATCATCCTAACACAAAGTAAGATTTAGATCTTTATTCTTTCTTTTTATGATAAAAAAATTCTCCGGACATAACGTCTGAACACAGGTGGGATTTCATTGGACACTGGCAAATTTCAGTTAGCCAATGTCTGATGACCGAACATTATTTGCAGCCTTGTTTCAACTTAAATAAGCATGTATAAAAATAAATACCTTTGTGATCCCTGGCATTGATGTCACAATCCAAATCAATAAGCCCTAGGATAATTTCACTGCTGCCCATAAGCGATGCATGATGGCAAGCCGTAAATCTGTCTCAAAACAAAGTTGCAAATTTTAATGAGAAATAGTCCCCATGAATTGGTGAACATGGGAAATAAAGGTAAGTCTGTCAGTAGTCATGTCTAGTTTGTATTCAGGAGTTTCATTAATAGGGTTCAAAATAAATGGCTGTCTTGTTGTCCTAGACATCCATATACTGTGTGGCACGAAATTTTTGCAGGAATTTTTCTCAACCAGCTATGGGTACAGGGTTCGCAAATACGCCAAATTTGGCGTATTTTACGTCAAAATTGTTCAGATGACTCCACTGAGGTTACGGAGGGAGTCACTTCAACTCCAAAAATTTTCAGTAATAAACAGGGAGCGACTTTGACTCCAGAAATTTTCGGTAACAAACACAGTTTTGTCCTTACCTTTTTCGCAACTAATACAATTTACGTTAATTGTAAATGTTGTAAAGCTGAATTAAATCATCGAAATTAACGAATTATACTGCACGACAAAACAGGAAGAGGCTAAATTACGATCAAAGTTTACTCGATGACCGCCAGCATCGATTTGAGCTTTCAGGTCAGCGGAGCCACCACAGGTAGCCCAAGCTGGAAATATGAGCATCGGCGAAACATCGGTATAGTTAGCGTAACATTCAAAATATAAGGGTTTGTATGGAAGAAAACCTATCGTTTCTGTAACCTATGAAATTTAAAGGATTTCAATAAAAAAACAGCTTACCTTACTTAAAATGTGTGTTACGTCTATTCTGTGTGGTCCACGGGCGATTTATGGCGTTTTATGGGTTTTTATGTAACGGTTTTCTCCATATAAAGGTTTACCGGTAAACCTTTTTATAGAGAGACGTAACACGCATTTTAAGTAAGGTAAGCTGTTTTTTATTGAAATCCTTTCATTTTCGTAGGTTACGGAAACGATAGGTTTTTTTCCCATACAAATCCTTATATTTTGAATGTTACGCAACAATGCCGATGCTCATATTTCGAGCTCGGGCTAACCTGTGCCGCCACAGCTACTTCGTTTATCCGTCACGATAGTGTATACATGCCGGGACCACGCGCTGGAAAGTCTGATACTTGACTCCAAATATTCCAAAATGACTCCAAAATTTGTGAAGCAGAAGTCACACTGACTCCACTCATCAATAAAATTTGCAAACCCTGGGGTATCTGTACAGGTACAGGTAGTCTGTGATACAATATAGTGAGATCTCCTCTGTGGTGCCAATGCATTGTTTGTTTCATGTTTGCTTCCTTAAGAACGATGGCAATTTGCCTGCGCTACATTGTTTTAAAAAAACCATTCCATGGACTCTTTGTTTAAAAATCGTTGTTAGCATGAGCCTGTTCCACTACTTCAAACATGAACAAGTGAAGGAGAGTGGAAATGACCAGTAAATGTCTGAAAAACTTTGATTATAGTGAGGGAGCCTTCCCAAAAACTTGTTGGGCAGGGGGACTGATGAGAAATTGGGGGGTCCCACAAAAAAATTGGAGCTAAAGTATGGAACCAAGCTTTCCACGGTGTATGCCAAATGACACTGATCTATTTGGTACCAGATTTAGTGTGGCACGGTTAAGTAAACACGCTGCTTAGCTATGACCACAACACCAGTTTCGGAACCAAAATGTTGGATCCTTCATCAGTTGCTTAGGTATAGCTGTTAAACACGAGCTCACCAAGAGAGCTACACGTAGTGCTGTAAACTAAAACTAGGGTTGGTTGAAGGGAATTTGCATATGATCACCTTTTACCTATAGAATCACGCTCGACCTGTAGCCAAGCATATCATCCTGATTACAGCGTAACTGAGCCAAAAAACTTTATACTGCTGATCATTTCTACTCCTTCTAAATCTAATCTATCTAAATCCTGTGAACACAGAAGCTTAGGACTCGTAGACTTTGTTAGAGCATTGACTGGCTGTATTACTGATGCCAGCAAAAGTAAGGAAACTTTTTTTATTATCCACGATATACAAATTTACCAGGACAAGGAAGAAATTAGGACTGAGGGGTAGGTTGGTGGTGTCTCAAATTTTAGGGATACTAAAAGGGGGTCCCTAAAAATGTTTAATGCAGCAAGGAAGGGTCCTCCAAATTTTTTAGATAGTAGATAATTTCTCATCATCCCCCCCCCCACCCCACAACGCTCCCTAAAAGCAGGGGGGAATGTGATAGTTCAACCAGGCTGAGCAGAGATTTAAGTACACCAAGAAGATAAGCTGTGCTTACCCATCTTCATCTTGTATGTTGACATTGTACTTTTTGCCACCTTTTTCTACAAAATATAAAAAATTTACATGTATGATAATGACGATGATAATTATCATGATTATTATTACATTATTATAATACAATAACAATAATAATTATTATTATTATCATAATTATTATTATTATTATTGTTATAGTTGTTGTTGTTGTTGTTTTTGAACAATGCACTTGACAAAAATAACTGGTATTCACTGCAGAATTCCAATATTTTTTATTGGGCTTTGTTTTTTGTTCTGCTATTTACAACTAATTAAATTAAAATAGCAACAAGGCAATTAGAGTTTTAAAAACCCCGACCTCAGCAGTCCTCATTCTATTTAAATTTTCCACAACATTGGGGGAAGAAGAAAGAATGTTAACATAGTACTATATAAATCAAGAGCCTCAGTGGAGCTCAGTTTCATTACATGTATAGCTGTCAAAAGGCTGCCATTATATCAACACCAGTATAAGTTGTGGATCGTTATTTGGTACAAAATTTGTGCTCTCCAACAGCTCATATAGTCAGATGATTTAACTGCTTTCCAACATCAATAGCAGCACGCTGCCAGTGATATTGACATTATATATTGTTTCTTTCGTCACTTTAGCTACAGTCTAGATTCTCTATTACAAACTATATATGTTCTGAATTTACCCTTGGTTTAAATTTTATTTTCTTTGGTTCAAACAGACGACCATACATTACCATGCAAAAAAAAGGAAAAGACATTTAAACTGAGGATACATGTAAAATTGAACAACAACATATATGATGCTGGGTTTGACATTTTGCAGGTGCACCTGCCGGCATAACTAAGATGTTAAGATTAAAGTTGGGCCTGAGTTACAGGACCTATAAGCTCTGTTTCATGCACAGTTTTTGGTGCTTGATTCCAAACCAAGAGGCAGGCTGGTTCACAAGATAAAGTTTAGAATCAAAGCTAGACTGCAAAACAGTCCATACTATTGTGTAATCAAGTACTCATGAACAGTGTGAGGCCTGCATGGTTCACTCGTGTGAGACTCATATGGTAAACCAATTTTGGGAAAAAAACGACTATTTTGCAGTCTCAATTTTGCATCACATAAGTATTAAACCTGTTTTGATTTGTGTATCTCAAAATCCTTAGAATATGGCTAGCCTGAATTCTCACTCAGTTGAGTATCTGATGAGATTTTAAGACATTAATTTTGTTATAAAAAATGTGTCCTTTTTCCTTTTAATTTTGAAGGTTTTCACAATATACTTAATAGTAAAGAAACCAGAACAGCACACTACAAAATTAAGACTTGATACCTTACATACAACATTCACAAGAAAGGCATGTTACTTTAATCCCCCTTAGTATTTCAATATTTCTCCTTAACGTCAAAAGGATAAAGGAAAATATTCAATTGAATGGGCACGACGGGTGTAAAGTGAATTTAAAAATGTTTTTGGTCTCGATAAAGAGAAAAATGTCAGTTATACGGCAGACAATATCAATGAAATTTAGAACTTGAAATTTAGAGTGTTTAGTAAATAATTTAGGAAACTATCAAAATAAACAAACATGTCTAAAGGATGGTAATGGCCACAAATGTAAACAATGTTATGGATTTAATGACATTTTCCTGAGGAATAAAGGGAGAGAGAGATAAGCTGACGATGCCCATGAGAGAATTTAGAGTGTTTCTATGAATCTGCAGCTGTATCCTTCACCAATTCATCACCAACTCATTTCAAACAAAAACAATATAGTGTGAAATTTAATCAGGGCATAAAAGAGAAAATTTTACCCATACATTAGACACCTGTATTTATCATGCAAACTACAAATTATCCCCTCAAAATCTCTAAAATCTCCCAAAATAAAGTTGAATGCATGTAAATATTTCCGATCGACGCAATCAAAATAGATCCCAAATCTGATTTCATTTTGAATAAATATTTGTAAAATTCATTGGCGCCTTCTCTTATTGAGGTTAGTCACTAAACAGGTTTCTTTCTGATTCTTTCACAAAACTAAATTTGAAAGACAAATTCAAAAAATAATAGAGTACGCTGATCCATCAACACTTAGCAGACAAGCGAATTAACCTCTCCCCTGCTCTTGCGAAACAAAGCGATCGTTATATGCGGGACGCGAAAAACCAGGTCTAACGTTTAAAACAAACCAAGAATTCATAAAACCATCATTAAGAACCTCATTAAATTTGAATGGCCGGCTCTCGATAAAACAGCTTCATTTCACCTGTCTAAGAAAATTCAATCAGCAAAAGGTACTTAACATTTCATTTTGTCTTGTTTCAAAGTTCGTCTCCTCCAGTATTACTCACTTGTTTTAGAGGCTTTAAGTTTTGTTGCAAGCTTCCTGAATGCTGCAAGGTCGTTGGATTTTACCGCCTGAAGTAATTCCTGATCTTTAGCCATGACATGTAGCGTCTATCTGACTTTAGATGTCACCAAACACTTCACAAGATCAGAGTGGAACAGCTGCATTTGACGGCCGGAGGCTTGACACGCTTCTCAGGATTCGTCAACTCATCATCAATTCGGTGAAAAGCTGGCCATTTCCCAACTGAATGCCAAAACTTTTCCTCAGTTCATGACAAGAACAGCTGATAATAGGGGGGTATACCCGAGGAGCATAGGAATTTAAACCAGACAATCACATATGCTCTACTTGCAAAAGTAAATAGATATTCGAGAACTGAATCGATTTTACGACGTGATCACGATAAGTTTTCTCGGTTCCGCGAAATTGACGTCACACACATTGTTGATGCGAAGGCACCGGATGTAAGCATGGATAAGCACAGACAGTCCAGCCGCGTGGGAAATCTTTCGTTTTCTTCCTTTCATTTCTCTTGTTTTGTGTCGTATTTTTTTAGACTTCCTGATGAAACTGAAGCTATTTAACTGAAGGAGAAGGGTGGGGAATAATCTTGTGGGTGATCATGGAAAAAATTATAGGACAACTTTTTGCCTTACGTCACATTTTATAGAGTCAATTAATCAACCCTGTCTAAGACGGATACTTTTTCGTTTAAGAGAGATGTCCGTCTCAAAGAGAGTCAAATAAATATTAAAGGGAGTAACTAAGGCCTAACTCTAGTTGTCCGTTAAGGGAGAGTTTGTAGAGTCGACTGTCTCTGTGGTACCTTATCGAACCTCGGGATAATCTATTTTTGTTACCAAAAAACTGAAAGAAAGCGACTTAGACTCATGAAAAAAGTGTTTCTTTGAAATCCAGGATGTCCTACAAAACCCTGAAACCAAAACAGAACGATGGCCGATTAAATTTACCTTCCAGCCTGTATCAAACATTTTCCCTTTCTCTTGATATAGAATACTGAAACTATTCAAAAAGTTTCGATCAGAAATGGAACGAACGGATAGTAGATGATCATAGTAGTTGCTAGTAAATGACAGCTGGTAGAAGTTACGCCGTCCTCTCAAACTCTTCGGAAAAACTTTGGGAAGCTTAAGAAACCACGACGAAGACGACAGCGACAACTAAAAGGTCCAAAAGAATTGGTTTTATGAGCAAAACTGACAGCTGTGCACGTGCATCACATCACGCTTCAGTTTAGCCTGCGTAGCCAGGGACCGCGCAGCAAGTTTTCGAGTGGGGGGGCTAAAGAAGAATGCGTGAAGGAAAATTTGGGGGAGGGGGGCCGGGGGGGGGGCATGCTTGTGGATTTCTATTCAATTTCTCTAAAGTGACGGAGAATGCGAATAACGTTAAAACTATTGATTTTTTTCCACATCTTCAGTGATGTTGCTATCGGGTCTGAAAATTCACCATCACTAAATTGAAATATCATAGATTGTTATGTTATACTACTGATTTAAACCTTTAATTACTATAAATAAGCCAGAAATCCAACGATTTTGCTTGAGCTGCCTTGAACTCAAGGCTGTATAATTACTGAGTAGTTATTGCACGAGGCTGAGTATGATATGAAGAGTTATGCAGATCGAGGGGGTTATCCGCCAAAGCCGAAGGCTTGAGCCCGGTGGATGACACCCTCCGAGATCTGTATATCTTCATATCATACGAAAGCCGAGTTCAATAATTGTTTAATTATTCATTCAAAATATTTACACGGCAAAATAAAACGGTAACTAAAAATAATTTAGTGAATGAAAATTCAATTATAGAACAGATTCAGAAAAAAGTAGCAAAAATTATGCAGAGTTTACTCACCAGATAAAGAAGGTTTTCCATTTTGTTTGGAAAAGTAATCAGAAATTTTAAGAGATCTCTTCTTTGCATTACTAGTGGTATGTGAAGTCTCGTCGTTCGTAGCCTGCGTGGCAGGCGCTAAAAGGGGAGGGGGAGGGGGGAGGGAGAAATGGAAGAGGGAAGGCCGCGTTCAACAAAACTTGCAATTGGAATGCTCAACGAGCCGTGAAGCCTGACATCAAAAGACGGACTTCGCGCTGATCGAGCTAAAATCAGGACGCACAATAACAAGCGAAACAATAACTTCATGATCTTCCAAAAATCAAGGTTGAAACTAATAAACAATTTGTTTGAGAATCGCCTTATAAACTAAACCCAGTTATTACTTTGGATCGAAATTGACCAATTACGAAACAACGCGTTTTCCTGAGAGGTCCGCAGGAAAAAGAAGCCGTTTAAAAGACGTTTACCTCTGCTAGGTTAGAAGCGAAAAAATATTTTACAATTGTAACGACTAATGCTTCATTCTGTCTATTTATCTGCGCGTTTGTCTTTGCCAGTAATTCTGGTCACTTTCGAATTAACGATTTTTTGCTATTTTTCACTCCGTTACTTTTGTTAAATTATTTTTTGGTTAATTTATTTTTATTCTTGCAAAAAAGTGGGGGGGCTAAAGCCCCCCCAGCCCCTCCCTCTGCGCGGTCCCTGGTAGCAGGCGCTTGCAAGTAGTGGGCACAAGAAAAAACGGGCGCGCGAGAAGGAGACACGCGTGTCTCCCTCTCGCGCGCCCGTTCTCTCTTTCGCCCCCTTCTTCCAAGCGCCTGCTACGCAGGCTAGCTTCAATTTAATAGTACATTTCTTTTACGTCCACTGTACGTCTGCGACGTAAAACCATCTAATGCCGTGCGGCGTTACCGGAATTTTCCCTTCTCTTTTAAAACCTGGAAAGTCCTTAAGAATTCAACTCCAGGAAAAATCGCCTACATTTGACAAATTGGGCGGGTTACATGGTTCAGAAAGACACGATAATAGACTGCAAAACATTGATTCCGTATTTTGCGTATTCAAAAAGGCACGAACAGTCAAACTAAAGGTCTGGAGATTCTTACGCTACTATAACAGGGGCACCCAACGAGAATATAGTTCAAAACCACATAAACATAGCATTGTTGAACGTACTTTAGTATTTAAACGGTAGATAAAGGCTTATTTTTATCCCCTAAAAATTTTTCATCTGTTTGGATTTCCTAGCTGAAAGTATAGTGATCCGAAAATCATAGGGATCAAAATTTAACTTTTCGAAAATTTCAGCCAGAAAAAAGGCTTCCGAAAATTCTAGGTGGCCTTTTTAAGGTAAAAATCCGTTACAAATGGGCAATTATACCACTTTTTTGATGTTCGAAAATCCTAGGAGGGGCAGGTAAGCAAGAAACTTTACAGAAAATGATCCGAAAATTCTAGATCTCAAATCGTCTTCCGAACAGATAAATCTTTTGAGAAAAAACCACTGGAGGGGAAGAAACAGGGCTAATCCTATACACAGGAAGTGCAAAAAAATGGATTTTTCTCAACGAGCAAACTCTAAACCAATAGAAAAAGCCTGGTTGACTGAGCAAAAGCCTCGCCAGTGTGCCTTGACATTTCAAAGAAAGATCGTAACTGTATAAAATCGGGCCTTACGTCTCATTTACGCGAAATTTGGGGCGCGGGCAAATTTCTCGACCGGCCAGCCCCTGCTGCCCTGGCTATTATGCTCACAGCCATATCACTCCGGGTTTACTGAGATAATCATCTGCATGACCCTAATACATGTAATAGGTCTGAGGATATTCCATCAAGTGGTTCTAGTATGCTGTCATCTCAAACGTAGGATGACGACCATAATATTGAGTCGTGTTGTGTAACTGACACTCACAGTTGGAACAACTTTATACTTAATAGTTATTCCAGACTTCCACGGACTCTCAATTCAGCTGACAACAAGATCTTAAGGCATGGTTGTTCTCACGATACCGTTAATAAAGTGTATGAATTACCTTTTCAAAGTAAAAATGATATCAAAATAACAATGTTTCAATTTAAGGTAGTAGAAAATATGCTAGCAACTAAAGCAAGCCTTTTCAGAACCCAAATTTGTGACTGTAACGTATGCCCTCAATGTCTAAACACACTCCTTAGATCACGCGTTCTTTCGCTGCTCCTCCGTAGTTGTCTTTTGGAGAGGACATTTCAAATTTGGTGGACCAATATAACGGGGCAACTGTGTCCCTGACATAATCAGACAGTGAAAATTATGTATGGGGTTTTCTATACAGTAAAACTCCACACATATAAGAACCTAGAATTTTCGAGGTCAGGCTGAACAGGCTCTTATATTTTAGGGTAGTTTGTCACAATTCAGGCTGATTAGGTTCTTGAAAGGTTCGTATTTTTCAGCTAGAGGTTGTCATAGTGTAACCACTGGCAGAAATAGTTGTACTACTAATACATAATGGCAAACAATCAAGAGAAACATCAATACATTTCTATATTTTTTAAATAAGATATTAAGATTCTGTATAGTCTATATTGAACAGTAGCTTTATGGAAAACATACTTCTAGTGAAAATCCAAACAAATGTAAGTCAAAGAAAACACATACACAATAACCTTTTGTGAAGAGTTTCTCACACAATGAAGTTCAGAATTTTGACTACCATCAAAATTGGAATGATTCTTTTATATAAGAACCTATTTTTCTTTCCAGGCTGAATAGGTTCTTCTATTTTTGGGTATTAAAATGCCAAATTTCAGCCTGTAGGTTCTTAAATCACTAGCTCCTTATATATGCGGGTTTTTACTGTAACACACAACACAGCTGTACTACAGGGGCACCCAACGACAATTTTTGGGAAAATATCTGTTCGGAAGACGATTTGAGAACTAGAATTTTCGGAACATTTGTTGTAAAATTTCTTGCTTGCCTGCCTCTCCTAGGATTTTCGAACATCTACAAAATGGTATAATTACCCATTTTAAACGGATATTTACCCTACGAAAGGCCACCTAGAATTTTCGGGAGCCTTTTCCTGGCTGAAATTTTCGAAAAGGTAAGTTTTGATCCCTATAATTTTCGGATCACTAGACTTTCAGCTAGGAAATCCGAACAGATGAAAAGTTTTTAGGGGATAAAAATATGCCTATATCTACCGTTTAAATACTAAAATACGTTCAACAATGCTTTAAGTGGTTTTGAACTTTATCCTAGTTGGGTGCCCCTGTGTATTCACTAAATTACTCACTTCTAATTACAAAATTCTCAATATACTTCAGCTGCCTACACAACGAAAGATCTCTTTTACGACAGTTTTCTTATACTTCGTCGTGAAAAGTTGAGCATTCTGAAAGAAATAGCTTTAGGAAACAATGACAGTATGACCTTTGAAAAGCCTTTTAACATCTCCTTTAGTTATGCATTTGCGACGTGGGTGTAAGTTTTCTTGTTGTTCAACAAGCAGTGCTGTAGTTTTTGTTTTATTGTTTTAGTATTATTATCACTAAAATTTTCAGTATTATTTTTTCTTCTTTCTTCTATTTTTTAAATAAATTATGCGGTAGATAGCAAATAATGTTACATGATAATTTCTGTAAATTTGTATTTACTTGTATTGTTTTGTGTTTTTTTTTTGTTACAATAAATAAATAAATAAATAAATAAAACTGTTTAATTAGATAAAGTCCAGACTCTGGAAAATAAAAGGAGGTAAATATGCAAAGACCCTCGCCAAGATTTTGGTCAAAGATATATTTCGTTTACGAGATATCTGGAGAAATGTTTTCACCAGATTTGTATGTTTTCAGCTGCTCTATCAAATACATCATTAAAGTAAAATCTCAGTCGGATCGATAGTTTTGTAATTTGAATTTTAGTGACGTCATGGGAAAATCAGCAATTACAACGAGCACGTCTCCTTTCATAAAAAAAGGAAAAAGACTCTCAATTCGAGCATACGGCCATGGGTCCAGGTGATGGCTGGTTTCTCTTTAGTGTGGATCAAATAAGAATGAGTGATCTTGTATGCTCGCTACAAAGTGCGACAGAACAGCCTTTTCTTAGGTTCAATCCAGCCAATGAGCCAAAAATCAGATTGAAAGAACCTATTTTGTATCAAGGTTATCTTTTCCATTAGTAATATTACCCGAGGGTGTTAATCTCTAAAGTAAGCCATACAGGTATTGACTGACAAAAAGGTTACTATAATTGCCATTTTGGTTAGGGAATGGTTGGATATTTAGGCTGTCACGTCTGAACTTGGCTATGCTCCTTTAGCGGGGAGTCACAGAATTGTATAGCCCCATGAAGTCGTTTTTTGGTGGGTCGTATAACAGACTCCCCCCAAAACGACCCGTGGGAAGAGAACAATCGTAGAACCTGATTAGCTTTCATCAACGTTTTAGGGGACGGAGGATTTTTAATTTCACGAAGAAGAGATATCATTACAAATGATCATCGAATGTGATTAACTGCTGCTGACAAAGGGATCAAAATCCTGATGGGTTGTCGAGGTTGTCAAAAAAAAGTCCTCCCTCGGTTACAATTGATGGTCGACTTTCAATCGATCGTTTTCGTTTATTTCACCGTAGATTACTATAGCAGTCAGCAAACTTCATTTCGCATTTTCGATGTAAGATGATTGAGGTAAAAAGTATGAGTAATTGTTGAAGCAGAATAAATATTTACAGAGTTTTATTTTTGGTGGGCAATTTGGTGTGGATCGTTGACTGACTAAAGAAAACATAATAGAGCCTGTTATTGGCAACTGTATCACCGGACAATTCAAGTTATGTACACAGAGTATTAAATGCGGAAATGTGCAGCTTAAAGTCTTCAGTCATGTAGGCGCCTAAAAACAAACCTGCCAACAGCACTGTGAATAAATTACATCTAAAAGCGTGTAGTGTTCATAGAGTTGTTAAGTACGCGTCAACTATCCTTTACGGAACACATATCAGCATCGCCGAGGTGCTTTCTTCGAAATAGGGTAGGTACTACTGCATGAGTTATAAGCGACCAAGACGTTGTATTTTATCTATCGATCTAAACTACTTTTAGTAAGTACTTTATTTTCTTAAAACTGTGCGAGGCTTAAATCACAGTTCTGCGCACGTGAGAACCAGTAGAATTGTTGGGCGTCATGGTTGGTTTTGTTGCTCCTACAAGTTGTTCCTTAGTTTTAAAGCTTCAAAGGTGGACTCCATTGAGCTAAATCCGTCTATCGATCACAGAGTTAAGAAAATGAATTGTATCTGCGCCCTGCAGACATGTGCAGATTCATTTCTTGTAGTCGTGGTGTTTGCCATCTCAGTGAACGCCCATTATTTCCTTGTATTGCTGTTCTCTGAGATGGCGGTGAATCATGTATTTGCCCTGATAATGTATTACTCCCGGGATCGCTGTCGGAGCCTCATCTGTCGGTAAGGCTTAAAAAAAAATTGATGTGGGAAATGAGTCGAATTTCGTAGTTTGACAGATCAGAAAAGCACATTGTTGTTAACAAGGGTCTAACGTTTATATTCAGAGGGATATCACCAGGGACATGATTCATATAGCACCTCATCATGTAACTTATCATGATATAAGACTGATCATTTTCAAAGTATTCAGACCTGTTCAGGACGTGACATCGTGATATAACATGGGTGAAATTGTGAGTAGGTCAATATTGGGGCTTATCAGATGGCATTACTGATCATTACTTTATTGAAGGAATTTTAATTGTTTCTGGATTGAGATAATGAGTAGTGACATTAACTCCGGTTGGTTAAGAGGGCCTCAACCCTAAAAAAAACGAAGACTATTCCTCTTCTTTTATTTGTCATGTAAGGCGAGAAGATTTTCAGCTTCGTGGGATGAAATTGGACTATAAGTACCCTTCAGTCATTCTATATAAAGATGATTCTGTATAGAAGTGCGATATGCAGACAATTATTGGATGATGCTTTCTCTAGATATCATGAAAATAAAAAAAATTAATTTAAGTGTTATCAGCTCGAAGAGGAAGCCCTGTGCTGATAACAGTTAACAATTATTCCATGAATCGGCGTTAGATACAAGGTCATTGATAAATACCAAAAGAGGAGGGAAGCGCAGAGTTGTCTATAACCCGAACTTCGTGTAACCAAAAAAGGCGAATGGAAGGATTGTTTTATTAAATTCTCAACCTCCGCTCACGCCCAATTTTTATCTAACTTACCAAGGCCGAGGTGGATAACAGCGCCGAGATCTGCATAAATCAACATACTATACAAAATATTCTAAGTTCTTAACACGCTTACCTCGTCGTGCACTTACTTCAAACGTTTGGCCTATTTTTCTGCAGGGTTGCACCTGTTTTTTCTTGCAGATACTCCTCAAAAAGAAGATAGCGTCCATCGAGCAATATGTTTTGCGAATTCTTGCATTTCTTTCGTTTAGTTTTAGTCCCTTCAGCTGTTTCGTCTCCGGGTAGCCATGAACACCATTTTTTTTTAGTTCACTGTAGCACAAGCAGCCGCGTTTCCAGGAGTATACCATCGATCAGCTTCGTTTCCTTAAGCAATAGACCACACTTTCTATGGGTTTACCGGCGTGATAACCCACGCGGGATGTTGGGAGAACACGACTTTACAAGCTTTTCGAGTGTTCTCCCAGCATCTCAAGCGGGGTATCACGCCGATAAACCCATAGAAAGTGTGGTCTACTGCTTTTATGAAATGACTTTAAGTTTTCTCTGAGTTTACCAGCACAATAAACTATAGGTTTTTAACCAATCAGAACGCACGTACTATCTTTAAGTGTTGGTTATTTTATAAAATCAAATGTACCATCAAATCGATGGTACATTGCTTGCATCTTCCAAATATGGTAAGCGACAGTTGGTTATAAAGAATTAGCCGGGGGATTAAGGCCAATCAGAAACGGCATTTAAACCCTGATCGGAGAAGCATTATTCGAGGTTGAGACTATAAAAAATTGTTAAATATTCACGCTACGTTCGAGACTCAAAAAGACCGAAATAACGAAACCGTTTTATCTTCTGGCTATCTGGGCCATGCAGGTCCACTGTATCACTACAACTTTGACAAGTGGCGATAGGACAGTCAGCCACGGTGGAGCCAGCTTCTCAACAAGATGGACATTCCAACACGGTCAAATGTCTGAGGCGTTTTTTGCTGTTTTATTTATTGAGATTTCATTTTCCATGAAGTGGGATCATGGACAGGGACCGTATAGACAGCTTTCATTACATTTTTGTCAAAATAATGAGCTTCATGGTAAAATTACGCTGATAACTGTGGCGCTGAAAGTAACACCAGTTTCATTTACCAAACACTTGAATGTTTCTATGAAATCTTCGAAAAGTTAGTAAGTTAACAGCATGTTATTAGTAATATTTTTAATTCTAAGACGTTGTCTCTGACCGCCGCAGTTTCTTTCCATTTTCCTTCTTTTAATCTTCTTATGCTTTCCTTGTTTTTTTGTCCTTTTTGATATTATTTTGTTTTACTAAACGCAGAATCTAAAACGATAGGTCAAAACATTGTTATTCCGTCTTAAAACACCCTAAGCAATCGGCGGGGGGGCAGGTAGCCTGTTCCATGGGTTAAGTTAGTAGGGAAAGTGCGAAAAGCTGGAGAATAGAACAGTAAAAATCTAATTTCAAAGCAAGACAATCGGAGAATTTACGATATTATGGCTTTTACTGCGGAGGCCTTTCACACGAGGAGCCGCAAGGGGTGATATTTTTGCACGGCATCTGGCGGCATATCAAAGAATTTGGAATTGAAGGGCAAATTCCTAGAATATCTTCGCCAGTTAAGCTAGAGAAAAGGTGTTAAAAAACCTCAGGATCCAAAACAACACGTCAATCAAAATATCACTTGGACCTTTCGCTAATGAAGAGCTATCACGCGGCTAAGCTTGAATTAGACATATATTGAAATAGGAACTCGTGTCAATAAAGTATCAGAAGTGAGCGGGAATCGCTCCTGGTTAAAAAACTGGTTCACAGGGATATGCATCTCTTCTAGTTAAGAGAAGGGAATCAGAACTGCTTTTCATGCAGGAACAGGTTTTCTTCGGGCTAACTACAAAACCTCAGCTTATTTCACTCCTTGACATTGTCAAAGCGCATTTTGTAAAGATAACTTTTTCCGCTTTATGAGCTTTTTTTATATTCTATTCCATTAATGTTTAACCTCCCTCAAAAAGCCAAGTAATATAAATGCTGTTGTTAAAAAAAGCGTTTTACTTGTTTACGTGAATTGGCTACCCAAATATCACTATGCTGAAAGGACAGGGCAAAATTTCCAGGAGAGAGGCATTAATTTTTTTCCCACGAGGTTACAAAGAGAAAATGCAATGATTATTATTAATGTAACCATCAGGTATACTCTACCCACGAGTTTACGGACAGCAAATGCAGTGATTATTATTAATGTAGCCATCGGGTATATTCTACCCACGAGGTTACAAAGAGAAATGCAATGATTATTATTAACGTAACCTTCAGGTATGTTGTACCCACGAGGTTACAGAGAGAAAATGCAGTGATTATTATTAAATGTAACCGTCAGGTATATTCTACCCACGAGGTTACGGAGAGCAAATGCAGTAATATTATTAATGTAACCATCAGGTATGTTCTACCCACGAGGTTACAAAGAGAAAGTGCAATGATTATTATTTACGTAACCTTCAGGTATGTTCTACCCACGAGGTTACAGAGAGCAAATGCAGTGATTATTATTAAATGTAACCGTCAGGTATATTCTACCCACGAGGTTACAAAGAGAAAGTGCAAAGATTATTATTATCGTAACCTTCAGGTATGTTCTACCCACGAGGTTACAGAGAGCCTGCAAATGCAGTGACAATTATTAGATTTTAGTGCAACTATCCGGTTGAGTTCCTCCATTAAAAGAGTTTTTTGCTAGGGTTAAACAAGTTTGGCTTTCATGAGTTTCAAGGTGCAAGAGATTATCAGTATAATTATAGCACACAAACATTGTCATCTAATTTTTCGCACGTAGCCGGAATAAGCCAAGAAATGAAGCATATATAACGAAAAATCGTTCTCAGATGATCTCCATATTAAATAAATTACACTAAACGTTGCGAAAGAAATTATTGTTCGTATCCGTCTTATCCATCGTAAAAGCGAGGGGTCATCGCATGACATCCGGTATTTTAAACAGAGGTAATACTCACGGGTTTCACGAGTTGTATGCACTATTTTTCGCCGAGAAACAAATTTAAACTTCAATTCTTACCTTACAGTAGTCCGTTCTTTTACCTTGCATTCGACAACAAATCTGTTAAAGGCGAACAAAGCGATTCCGGCACTCTTCTTTATGATGAGTAGCAAGCCGCAGGAACTGAAGCCGCTTGACTGAAGTAAAATCCACCGATATGCACGGCATTCTCACTACAAATATAAACAAACGTTGCGGGGAAAAAAGGACGAGGAGGAAAAAATGCCAGATCTTCGCCTTGGTAATGTATTCCAGCTACCATGCCGGCGTATCTCCAGAAGGTGGACTCGAAGTGGGACAAACCTTGTGATTTTTTTTAGACGCCCTTTGCGCGCAAACTAATTTATTCTGGCGCGAAATGAAGATTAACAATAGGTATACTGAAATCTAATCCACGACAAGAAGATTTTCGCACCGTAGCGCGACATATTAAATGCCTATTTTTACAAATACGCGGAGAAAGTGGTCCACTAGTTTAACTTTTTTAAGATGAATTTACTCCACAAAGGCGAAATGAATGTTTTATCTCTATGTTGTTTACGTGCCGTATTAGAAGGCAGAAGTAAATTCATCATACAGACCCCATCAAAATGAAAGTACACGAATGAAACGGAATAAGTCTGGAACGGTTTAGTTTCTACTCGGCAGCTTCTTTGCTCTTATAACAAAAATTTAATGTTGCAGTCTGTTTTAAACGTTGGCATATCAACGCGCACAGTCACTGAATGAAAACAACAGTCACGATCACGTTCTTCGAAACCGACCAGACTCGCGCGACCTACCACTGTTATGGCAAGCAATTATCCTGAAGGTGTTAATGTTCCCGTGACAGTCTTCTCACTGAAGGTGTAAATGGTAAACCGAACGGTCGCTTTGATCATCAGAAAGACCTGTCAACTTTGATGATTTAACTGATTAAATTACGGGACAGAAATTTTACTCCTTGCGGCTCCTCGTGACTCTCATGGATTGTGCAGTCAACTCACGGTCTCACGATTTAGCCTCCAAATCTCATGGTGAATCAGAAAATCTTAAAATTGCCAGGCGATTCCGGTAGAAATCGCGTAATTCTTTTTAAAAAAATCCGTCTTCATAATGGATGAACTGTGTCAGTCCAATTTAAGGAGGAAACCTGCGTTGAATTCCAGCCTCAAACCCGAAAAAGGTAAGTTCGCTAAGGTCTTTAGTAAAGCCTTATAGCATTCTCACTTGGCTATCTACTCGCCGTCTCATCGACCTGGATAGTGAAACAGAATTTTCTCGTCACTGCCAAAAGAGCATCAAGACAGTACAACAGAGACCATTAATAGGGTAAAGAAGACCAAGACAAAAGTATATCTGCCTTTTTCGCTTAATTTGACACATTTTTAAAATCTCCAGGTTTGGGGGGCCGGTGGGGGGGCTTTTTTTTCGAACACTCCAGATTTGCATGATTTAGGGGTTGGAAAGGTCTGATCTCTGTCAGCTGGCCGCAAAATAGAACTGCAGAGCGAGCCTAGTTTTCAGATAGATTTTCAAGTCAATGAAATGAAGTAAAGAACCATTCAGATGGACTGGCTTTAACATGGATTTATCCAAAAAAAAATAGAAGTTAACTAGAGAATGAAATTAACTTTTTGTAGGAGCCACTTAGCTACTTGATATTCCAAAGTGGTGGCCAATTCCACAAAAAAAAGGAACGAAAACAAAAACAAACAACTTAAAAGCTAGATAATAAGATGGCGTTCACCGACAAATTTGGTGGTAAATTATGTGCCAATTTTACTATACCTATCACCGCGACAGACATTGAGTTGTATTTTCATGCCCTGTTAACACGCGATTACATGAGCTCCAGGAGCTCATCTGCCCAAATTCTTTCTAAGCCCGAGCTTAATCAATCTCGACCCCAGTGTTTACCCTTCTGGTGAGCTCTGGGGTTGAGATTGGGGCTTAATGGCTTAAAGCCAGCTACTCGCCTGCGGGATGTTGTAGTAGGAAAGAAAACGGTATTCGGGATAGAGCTGACAGGAGTTCGGGATGCGGGATTGTCGTGAAAAAAGAGCGGGATTACAGGATCACGATCTTACTTCCAGACCCCATTTTTTAGTAAGTGCATTAGAACCTGTTTTTTCTCGATCATGTCTTTTCCTCAGTGGGTATTAGAATCGTCCCAAGAGAAATCGAAGACAATGGTTATGCAAAAATTTGGGGGGGGGAGGGGGTAAATAAGGTGCATTATGGTCTACGCGAAAATGGTGAACGCCTGAAAAAAATCTCACAGAATCAGTTCTGTTTCAGTGAAAACGTTAAGTGCCCGATATAAGTGAACAAAGTAATTTCCGTTGAGTAAGCATATAAAAAACATTCTTAGGACATTTCTTTTCTCACTTTTACAATCTTACGTGTTATCTTAAGAAAAAAAGGGGAGAAGGTTTTGTCCTATCAGCACCTTTAACGTTGAAACCGGCTTACATCAGAATCCCATCACGAATTCAAGTATCAGTAAATGATTAGCTTAAGTGAGGATAGTTTCCTTCTAACAAAAAATCTACTCTCAGTGCCTCTTAGAATGATCAACTGTAACGCTTTAAAAAGCAAAATTCAGCATAAGTTTTGAAAACGGACAGCTACACTGCCGTAATTGACACGGCAAAAGTAGTACCATACTGGGCAAATCAAATGTTATTCAGTCAAGATGTTTTCAAATGCTGCGTCAAGGAATCAAGGGTATGCAGTAGAGCCCCGATAACTCGAACTCGGATAACTCTAATTCCTTTACCTAAATCAAAATTTCACTGAAATTTACCCTGATAACTCGAATTTGCGCAAACTCGAACTGTTTTTCGTTTCCTTTCAGAGTTCGAGTTAGCGGGGTTCCAGTGCCAGTTAGGAACCCGGGTGGTTACCATGGCATCTGTATAATCGTTAAAGTGAGTTTGATTGTTCCTCGAATGCTTCGACCAGACTCAGTCCCCGGGGAAGACCTTGACCTGTATACCAAGAATAAAGCTATGCTATCTTTAAAAAGGGGGAGCTACTTGGTTTTATCAACCGAGAGGATCAAAGTCAGCTTACCACTGATTAAAAAAGATTGGATTGAAAATCTGACTCTTCGAACACCAGCTCTTTGTAACAACCAATCGTTGAAAGCTCTTGATTATTGCTGGGGGTCTGTAGATCATTTTTACTGGATGAAATTTTGCACCGACTACATCATTTTTATACTTGCCTATTAAACAACCCACACGATTAGCTTATCGCGTCAACACTTAGAGAAAGCAATTATAAGTTCATTTCAACTGTGCACAATCCGGAAATCAAACAATTGATCGAGTAAAGGCTCGGGAGCGAAAAGTACACAATAAGTTTACTAATTGGACACACAGGTGTATAAAATAAATCAGCCAAACTGTAATCGAAAAAGGCGCCTTTTAAGCGTTTTTCGTCATGTTACGTCGGTTATCGCTGTGGGCCATTGCGAAGTTAAGGATTAAATGTAATTGTTTTAATTGTTTTTTAAAAGACCACTTTGAGCGGCAAAGCGTTCATTGATATTAGCACTTGATTTCCGTTTTGTCTGTACGAGAGAATGATCTATTAATAGCGGCATCTTTGTACATGTTAAGTTAAAAGAGAGTACTCGTTGCTAGACTCTTGTTAAGTTAATCCTTTATCGCGTATTTGTTAAGACAGACCATTACCACACATCCGCTTGGTCAATTATGCTTAAAAAGAACCAAAAAGGAAATTAATTAAACCAAAAACGGAAACCGGGCGAATTTGAAAGGCAACAAAAGCGAAGGCTTAGTTCTTATAAAGTGCCAAAACTGCCTGGAATTTGAGATTATTCTCTAAAGAAACTATGATAAAGCCACAATCTCAGTTTGCTGAGGTTACGTCTTGAGTAAATCCTGATGGACGTACAAGTTCGGCTTTCAAACATTTTTAAGCCTCACAGCGGATCAAGCTGTTTTGACATTTGCATTTTCCATATTGTGTCGGAAAAATGGAATGCACTTAGATCGTTCTTTGTTTTTTTTAGGACAGCGTGACAATAAAACGCCTGTCAGTTTGAACAATATGATCTGTACATTCGCTGACACTTTCCTGAAAAACCTCTAACCTCATCTGTTTTTGCACAGCACGGCGACAGAGATTTCAGATCACAAAACATTTCAAACTTTTCTAATTCGAGCGCTCATTTCAGAATTACAAGGCAGGGACTGGAACATGAGGGAAGCGTGAAAGCCGGCCACATGTCTTTACGACGAGAAAATACGGCACCTCCGCGGTTCTACGGAACTTCACTGGCTAAGCGTCAGCCAAGGGCCAGCTTCACGCCACCACAGCAAAGAGCTCACCAAGTCATTCGTCGTGGAAGTTTAGGGGTGATACAGTCAAACTCTGCAGAGAAAAAGCTGCTTTTCAGCAAAAGAAGCAATAGTCTTGGTGGTGCAAACGATGATTACAGCCCAACCAAACTAGACTTTCAGTCTTTGAAGAAACGGCCTAGTCTTTTGGGAACAGGCAAGTTAAAATCCGGCAACAAAGAGACGGAAGCTGTTTCTAACAGAGCCGAGAAACATTCTATGGTAATCCTGGGAGCAGGAGGTGTGGGCAAAACAGGTAAACACTCCAACCTTGCATTAAGCTTTAAATCCTTGCAAACCTTCAAACGAAAACACATCTGTATTTTAAGCACAATTTGGAATTACATTCATCATCAGAGGGACGTATTTCTTGATGAGTTGACATCAATGGCATCACTTTTGAATGTGTAGTCAGGGGCACCCAACGAGAACATAGTTCAAAACCACTTAAACATAGCACTGTTAAACGTATTTTAGTATTTAAACGGTAGATATAGGCATATTTTTATCCCCTAAAAATTTTTCATCTGTTCGGATTTCCTAGCTGAAAGCCTAGTGATCCGAAAATTATAGGGATCAAAACTTACCTTTTCGAAAATTTCAGCCAGAACAGTAAGGTACAAACTACAATAAGTGAGGCGAAACTCATTTTTTTATTGAGCAAGAAAAGGATTATTAAAAATGTCAGCTGTCAACTGATTCATATTCCACTATTTTTAAAAGTAACCCTCCTAAGTCGGTGGACAGAACTTCAGCTACACGCTTCGATCACACGCACTTTCAGCGGACTCAAAAGGCCAAAATCACAAAACCAGAAACTACGGCGCGCCGGGATTCTTTCTGCACCAATCACCGATCTCAGCTTCTTTCATGATATAATTGGATTATTTATTGCTCGCACGATTCCGTTATCACACAACTCGATTTTCATACACCCTACTTGAAAAAGAGAATTTCAAACATGAATCCTTGATGAGACGATAACAGCAGATTATATTAGATAGTATCTAATCTAACCAACGGGCTTGAAATTCATAAATCAGACAGGGCTCTCCACACAAAGAAAAATTTTACAGAATCTGAATCATGATAAATTAATTGGATTATTTCCTAGTTTTAGTAAGTTAATTCCCCCATATAAAAAATTCCTCCTCTACTTTTTATATATATTTAGTATTTTTCTTTTCTTGGCATATGTCAGCATCAACAATTTTCTCTGTAGTGTTTTTTTGCATCAGAATGTTTTGATGTCAGATTTGCTAGAACTTTCATATTGCCCTTTGTTTGCTTAGCGATTAGTTTGATTGACACTTTTCTTTTCGCTTTGCTTCACAGCCTTGGTGGTTCGGTTCGTGACTGGTCGTTTTCTCAATGAATACGATCCAACCCTCGGTAAGCGAATGAATTAATTGTAGTCCATCTCAGCTGGGTGGAAATCAATCTAAATCGGCGATCTTTTCTCTGACTCAAACACAAAACCCGAGATAAGCTGGCGGAGAGTGATGTAAACTCCGCTAAGTTTATATACAAAACACTGATCGACCGATAATTTCTTTTAGCAGCTCATTTACACTTTTACTCGTGTGAGCAGATTATAAAGTATTTCCACGGTTAATCTTAGTCTCTCCTGGACTAAGTTGATAACTATGATGATCATGAGATGATTCGTCATTCTAACTTTTGAATCTGTGAAAGAACCCTTATGGTGTTACTTAGGCTTGAAAGTGATCAGGACGCAAGAAAGAACGTGGCGCGCGAGGGAGACACGTCGCCCACGTGAATGATCACCCCACGCGAGTAAAGGCTCACGAGTTTCTGTCGCTTCATTGCCCTTGAGGAAAACTGAGAGAGTCCTGAACTAACTAGCGGTGTTCATGTCGTTAGTTCTCTGAATGCAGCATCAAGGAGGATTGATGCTGATCATCCCCGTCACTTCAAATCCGAGCCTCCCCCACCCTTGGGAGTTTTTATTACGACTGTGCTGATCTTTAGTTAGTATAAGAAACAATAGAACAAAGGACGTAAGAAATCAAGGTTGATCTCATAAGACGTAATGTGTAAACATTGCCCAATTAGGAAATAGTGGAGAAGTGCTCCTAATAGGCGGCAAAATCTCTGTTTAATCTACAAGTGGTTTACGCTAGCCTTGAAATTACAGTTTTAAGTTACGCGGTCCATATTTGATAACTACAGTAGTCCACTTCCAACGTACCGCAGCAAACAAACACCGCCTTGAAATTTGAAAGCAGCGATCTTGCAGAACGACTTTTTTGGCGAAATGTATTTATCAACGTTGCCTTCACAGATCACTTAATCATGACACCAGGACAATTACAATGCCTTTCAGTTTATGAATAGCTATACTTTTATTTCACTTTGCAGAGATGGTGTACGAAAAGGATGTACCCATTGGAGAGAGCATTGTGTCACTGGATATTCTGGATACAGCCGGCAATGTAAGTAGCTGGCCGCTTTCTCTTTGATCCTGTGATTGAATACATTGATTACATTTTAAAATGTTATCTCTTCAAGTGCGAACAAGAAAAATAAACAGGGAATTTTACCGACCAAGGGGCTTTACAGATAATTTCGAGATAATTCGGGCGGCGGTGTGCAAGTTCGTGTCTCTATGATTATTCGGCTCTTTTTGGTTGTCTGTTTTTTTTTTCTTTCAAGTATTTTGTTTTGCTTTTTAGTTGTTTTTTTCTCTGTAATCTTCAGGATCTGGGAGTTTTTTCATCTCCTTGATTTTTCTTTACTTTCAATGAAATGGATTAAAGCTAATTGTTTCTTGTTAAAAGCCGTTTGATGTGTTTAAGCCAGTACCTTGGAAAGATTCAGGGAAATGATAGTATTTCCCAAATAGCGTTTCGAAAGATGTGAAATTCAGCCGCGTTTTGTTGTCTTCATCTTCAGCACTGAAGTAAATAGATAATTCCAGCAAAGCTAGACTAAAACTGCTAGTCCTGTTTTTGGAAGGAACATACCAGGAATGTACCATTTGGTGCGCGGGTCTTCTGTGCTGACAATAAAACTGTGACAAATGATTTTTCAAAAGTTCAACCGGTTTTAAGAGTAGTGATAGTGCTAACACAACCCACTTTGGCTCTGAATGTGACCAACGCATAGGTTGCCGAAACGTCAGCCACCGTCTGCAACAGTCCTATTTAGTGACTACATTCACCCGAACGATCATATTCCAGCCTTGCATCTGAAACCAAGATGGGCCACCTATCACTTCACAAACGTTTGATTTCATCGATCTTACGAAAAATAGGAAAGTCAGTTATTTCAGGTCACTAACAATCTCACTGAGGGAACCTCGGCGGGTGGGGGAGGGGAGGGGGGTACTACCCCCATATATGGGCTAGACAATGCCTAGTCCCTAGGCCTCATTATTGTGCGCGGCCGGCGCGTTTCGAGTCACGTGGTCCGAGCGAGCCGATCGTCTCGGATACGTCGCCGAAAAGCATTGACCGAGAAGGCCTGAGAAGACGTCGTACAGGCACTAGGCAAGGCTAGACAGGTATGTGCTGCCCTATAGGGTATGGTTTTGGTGGGTCTCGATCCTTGCCCTTGGTTGCATTGCGTTCCTGGTGTGATCCTTAGATGGTGTACCTAAATTGCTGAGATTCAAGTGCGTAAATGCCAAACAAAGCATCTGTTAAAACTGACCTATTCCTTACAGTATTAGGAGAGCGATTTACCGAAGGTTTGTGTGTTACCATTAAATTTTTGTATTTCCCTTGAATTTGGGTGTCAATTTTCGAGTTTGGGCCGTGTCAATTTTCGTTTGTCTATTCCTTAAATAGGGTCAGGATTTAAGACTGTGGGCGGCACACACCTATCCGAAAAAATAATGGGAGTACCCCCCGCCCCCAAGGGGAACAAACGTTCAAGTGTGTTAGTGTAGAGAGATGGCTTTACACTGAACTGACTTTGTTTTTCTTTACTACACAGGCTGAAGCGTCGTACATACGAAATGGCGAGGGATTTATTGTCGTGTACTCAATTAATGATCATTACAGCTTTGAAGTGGCAAGGCAAATGGTCAAACTCATCAAAGAGGTCCGAAAATCAGACGGCGAATGCCAGGTGCCTGTGATACTTGTGGGAAACAAGCGAGATTTACGTCGAGGTAGACAGGTCAGTAAAGAGGAGGCCAGGGAAACTGCTAGTGAATTCTGCTGCTCGCATTATGAGACATCAGCCCTTACCAATAGGAACGTTCAAATGGTGTTCTTTAACATGGTGTTCCAGGTCAGATTCACGAAAAAAACTCGACTAAAAAGCCAGGGATCTTCTGGTACCAATGGATTTCTCAGCACTGTTCGTCAGTTGTTTAGCCCGCAGCGGAGAAGCAGTTTGCCAAGCTCCTAATGGGATTGGCGGTTTTCAGCTCTTTGCAGAGTCAGCATTCGGATATTATCCACAGACCCTTTGGTTGGAGTCAAGTTCCTTTACTCCCTTCCTGGGCGATTCGACTTGAAGACAGTTAGTTAGAATCTATCGGAAGCAAGAAGGCTCACTCGACGGGACAAATGGGTATGGTAATCGACAAAGAGGTTAAGTCTACAACTTGCTAAAACTGAGAGGCGGTTCTTCTATTAAATGAATATCAGAACTGCATACAGAACGTTGCAATATTTGGACACGAACCTACCCATTGTAAACTTGAATATGGACATTGTATCTCATGGCAAACACGGAAGCTTAAGCAAAAAAACCCATTTACTAAAGCAATTACAAGTGAGAATGGAAACAGGCGGGCTCTGCGCAGCCTGTGGGATGGGATAGACGAAGAAAAGGTGGGAACGCGTTGCGCTGGCTTTTTTGATGATATTGTTGTTGTTGCCACCGCCATATTCCTGACCAGATGGCCTGTTCACAGCTTTATATACTGCAGTGCAGTTATTCAAGGTTGCCTCAAAAGGCGCGGTTTTATTTCCAGGCAGACAGATCTTCGTAAGCACCTGACTCCGGTTGATCAGACGTTGGATAACCGGCTATTCAATATCCACCGGCTAATCACTATCCAGCAGATAAGTGTTAGGGAAACCAATAGACCTTTTTACCGATACGGCGGCCATATTGAATTAATTAGATTTAAGGAGTATTATGGGATGTCCAGGGGGCATGACCGCGATCCGATATACTCGCTCAGCATTTACGCGCGCTTTTCGGGGCAATTTTTCTCTAAGTTTTCCTAGAAAAAGATTCTAATGGGAAAAAAGATCGTTGTGCCGTGTTTGGATGTACTACTGATCGCCTTTTTCCCGAGAAATACAAAGTGAAGTTCTCTTTTTGCCCGAAAAGCAAGCCTGCGTAGCAGGCGTTTGGAAGTAGCGGGCGAAAGAGAGAACGGGCGCGCGAGGGAGACACGCAAAGCGCCTGCTACGCAGGCTACCGAAAAGCGCGCGTAAATACTGAGCGAGTGCCCCTGGGCAGCCCATAATTCTCCTTAAATCTAATAATATTGAATAGATGAAAAGGTCTATTGAGTTATCCACTGGGTAGATATTTATCCGGTGGACAGCGCTATCCACCTTTTGAACAACCGGGGCCTGATATCAGTACATGTAGTTGAAATACTTCGACTACCTGATTCAGAGTATCAGTCTAGGGTTATTTTTACCATAAAGCGTGAGTCCTATATGTATTCCTACAGACAAGCTTTCTAGTCAAGGGTGGAAGGCTAGACATGCGAGCAGTTAGTGTTTCGCAGAGTCATAGAATTTTAGAAGAGATGAAAAACTAATGGATTGACGAAAACAGTACAAGTAAGCAAAGCGACTTTACGCGTTTATTTATTTGAGAATTTTCCTTGTAAACAAAATTAACATAAGAAGATGGTGATAAACCGAAGGGTAAAAGGAAATTTAGCTCTACATTTAACTCGTAAAAATGTACAGCAGATAGTTACACTAATAAAATCTACGCTAAATTATTTTATTCTACGTCACGAAGAAAAAAGACAAATAGATAGAAGGCAAGAAAGCCAGTTAGTATTCTGCAGGGTCCTGATTGTCTCCTATGCGAACCCAGCCGTTTTTTGTGACCTCATGCAACGTTCCTCCCCACAACTGAAAGCCGGGCGGGGCGTTGCTTGACGACCCAAAAACGGCCTCGTAGATGACTAGGGTCTTGGGGGTAAAGGAACGCTCCAAATGGGGTATTGCATTCAATATCCGCAGACTCCCCCAGTTGAGTAGCAACGAAATTCTTGAGGGGTAGACCCATATTCTTCACAGGTAGGCGGCTTATTTTCTTCAGGGGGAAGACCCATATATTATGGAAGTTTTCAGGGGTGAATGCAATTTTAGCCGTTAATCTTCAAGGGTAAGAAGAAAAGGTTAAGGGAAGTCCTGAACCGGGGGTACTGACATTAAGTGCACTGAGTCCAATCAACCTTCGCAGGCTGATTTGGAAAACGGTGCGTACCTTTGGTGAAATCCGAACTAGGCCCCTTACATGGCATCGCTTCCGGGAAGTGAATTCCGGCGACAATGTTAGAAGGGGCATGCCCTTACCACTACGCCACCCTTGCACCCCGGATTAAAATTCTTTTACGCGTTCGCACTCGTACTTAGACTGAGTGGCAAGCGCTTCTAGCCTGCGTAGAAGGCGTCGAATGGGGTAGGGTATTGTGAGAAAGAGAAAAAGGGAGGGGAATTGGGGGGGGGGGTGTCTCTTCCGCCCTCTTCTCCCCTTCCTCCCCCTGCCCTTTTAGACGCTTGTCAAGAAGGCTAGAAACTTAAGAAATATGAAGAAAGCGATGCATGCGAGAAAGGAGAACACGTTTTTAGTCTTCGCGAGGGCCTGCACTGGAATCATTAGAGACCTTAAGACTGAGGTTTTTCGGAATTGCCGGCAAAACCCTAACGTCAAGAAGTCACGTGATCAGGGCCTTGCCGTCAGGTTCACGTTTGTACGGCTAGACCACGCTCCAGAGGTAAGTAATTTACCTCAAGGTTTTTTTGCACCCTAAAAAATCATAATCCTACGTTTGAGAAGTAAAACAACTTTTTAGAACTCTTTTGCTTATTAGCCTGCGAACGGCAAACGTTTCTCCTTGCTTATCGCTGCTGAGGGATTGATTATCGAATTCTGTTTCAATAAAACGTAACTTTGAAGACAATTTCTCCCCGCGAATCTGAAGTGCCAGATATGGGCAGACGGGTAACCTGAAACTGTTAATCGCAAACCACAGTTTGTCGACTTTGTCGTTTGCAGTAAAATGACCAAACCTCGATCTTAAGGAGCGCTTTCCATTCCGATTTGAAATTTCGGAAATTCCACGTGTCCAATGAAGCGGTACATTCCGGTTGCACAGACCAGACCCAAGCCACCGCGCGTTTGGTTATTGTTCTTGAAAGGAGTAGGACACAAAAGATCAGTACTGGGGACAACACTTTTGCCAAATGGAAAGGGACATTTCGGTCAAAGAGCCACCTTGAAAGCTCGTCCCGAATATTCCAGTCGGACCAAACCGAAATGGTCCGTTCCATTAACCGTACCAACCGAAATTTCCGGAATTTTGGGTTGAATGGAAAGCGCCAAGCAGGCCAAGGTCTCTGTTTACAGAGATTCAAGTTTACTGCAAACGTCAATTTGTACCACGTGAGTAAGTTTTCCCGGCTCTACTTGTCGTTTACTGTTTATTACTTTCACATGAAAAATAAGAAGTTTATCTCCAGTTTCTTTCCATAAGAATTAGTTTTCACAGTTTATATCTGCTCAGTCCTATTTTGAGGAACTGTAAAATTGAATTTGACGTTTCCCGTTTGCTGTTTGCTGTTAACGTGATTCCAAATCTCTTAATTATTTGCGTTGCGCCCTAATTTGCCTGTCACACGCGCTATCACACAGTCGTCATCCAGCAAAAAGTTCCCATTAAGACCTACTAAAACACTGCCTAGCTTTGCATTGTGTAAACTGAATTTTTCGTTAAATTTCTATGCTCAAATGATTGCAGGTGGGAGGGCGATAGAAAAGAAAGAAGATTGTGTTGTTGATTCGTCTTTTAATCTTTCAAGATTTTAAACAATCTTGAGAGATGACAAGGCCACTAGGTCCACGTTTCTGTTAATCCTCGTCCCTCATTTTTTAGTCTTGGCGGTCTTATCGACCTGGTCCTAGAGAAAAACACTGAAAATCAGTTTGTAGTAATACAGATTCCTAGCAAATTTTCTCATTTGTAATGTGAAGCACTGTAAACCGCACAATAATGCTTGCTTCTTTATTTTGCAACTTTGTACACATTTCCTCGTAAAAGGGTTTCTTTTGTCTAAAATTGCATGAAATGAAGCCATTTTTGTTTTAACATTTCAACTTATCACCTTTGCTAAGATGTGATCGTTTGATCCCAGCCGCCAAACGTCAACCTCTTTTGTCTCTTTTATACAACAATTTCAGTCAGAACATTGCGAAGGCGGCCAGTTTCTCACCTACAGACGCCGTTGTACCTCCCATGTCTGTAGAATGCAACAACTCCATTATAAAACGGTGCTTTTTTCCTTTTCACTTCGTCTAATTCTAAGTTAACATCTGCTGGACTACTGGCTTTATGGTAGACAGAGACTACACGCATGGCTCCTTTGGCTTCCCGTGTGCTTTCAGGTTAGGTGACGTCATTAAGATAACTCATCAATAATATAATCAGTAAGTGTTCTCATTTATTTAAATGGTATTATTGCTATATAGAATGAAATGAATAGACTGAAAATAGCAAATTAAAATAAAGAAAGCTGCACTGGTGTATTTTTTTACAAGTAAATATATCACACCCAATATATCACACCCCGCTATTTACGTACAGCACGTTTAACAACAAATATAAAGCAGCACGAAAGAGTGTTGAAAATAATAGGTGGTGGTGTGGATAAGTTGTTAAATTGCTGAATTAAGACGAGGGCATTGAAAGTCCATCGTCAGTGCAAGACTATAACCGCTCAACAAACTCATAAACGCTTTCAATTCTACAGAGCATTAAGTCACTACGTAATTCACAAAAGCGTTTTATTTGAATTATCGAGTTCCTAAACGAAGATGTAATGCTTAATGGTCTACGCCCCTGCGAGCGAGAGGAGTAAATGAAACTGTGTCGAATTCGTGTATAAGTATGAAAAATAGTACAACTAGATTTTCATACGCGCACGTTTTAGTATCTCTCGCCTTTCAAGAAGCTAAATTTGTAATTAGTGCTTTTTAAAAGGTTGCTTTCTAGAAGGGGATATCGATAATGCTCGGTAAAAAGGTCTCCATGCACCACTTATTTATGAATAATCAGTTTAATAACGGGTAGATTTTCTAAATCACGCGGTAAAAAGAAGAACGCAGAAAAAGGCGCTTAAGGGAAAGAAGTGGCAATCTCCTACCTATGTCGACTACTTGGCGTCAAATGAAAAAATTCCTGGCGACTTTTAAACGACACCAGCCAGTTCTGGAGGAAATTCTTGTTTCAAATAATGTTTCTTGTACACCCACTGCAACCACGTGGTAAACATTAGACAATTTATTTTTAACACAAAACCACCTCACTTTGTCATCTAACAACAAAAGTCTACTTTGCAATACATAAACCCCTTAAAGAAGTCGACGAAACAATAAAGATTAGCATAAATTCAACTCTTTAGCCCATTAAGCCGCCGACTGACAGAAATGTTCACTGGCAAATGACTCCGGCAGATGGCATAAGGCACTGAAAAACTAACACGAAGTATTAAGTGTGTAATAGCAAGTTCTTTCACATAAATTAAAGTAGAACATGCCTAGGACATAGACAATTCTCTCTGGACTCGCAACGTTTCTTGTTCTAGGGAACCGCCGCGAGGGGTGCTCCTTGAAATTTTTGGTGGGGGCGTGCCGCCCGATTATACAAATCCTGATTCCAATTCGGACTAAAACACACAATTTTCCAAACCCGTTTTAGACGCCTCTGATACATGTTTTCTAACCTGAGTTCAGAAAGTTGTGCTCTGTTTGTAATCCCCTTACCTTGTTTATGTGAAGTCAACATGTTGTATTTAAGCATTAATTACTATATTTTTTAGTAGTATTTGACTCTGAACGAACTTCCTCTTATTTGTTTGGAGCTCAACTGGTGTATAAACGT